CCGTGGTGCCTCTGTTTAGAGGAGCAATTTACCTTTCCAAAGTTTCGTTGCCTCTATTTAGAGGAGCAATTTACTTTTCAAAGTCGTGGTGCCTCTGTTTAGAGGAGCAATTTACTTTTCAAAAGTCGTGGTGCCTCTGTTTAGAGGAGCAATTTATGTTTCTCAAAGTCGTTGAGCCTCTGTTTAGAGGAGCTTCGGTAAAAAAAAAAACAAAAAAATAAAAAAACAAAAAAATAAAAAACAAAAAAAACAAAACCAAAAAAAAAACAAAAAAATAAAAAAACAAAAAAAAAAGACAATGTTGAGTTGAGTCTTGATTGGGTGTCTACGTCTTTGCGCAATTTCTGTTTCACAAAAAATGTGCAAAGAGGGGCAGCTGTAGACACCTAATTTGGTCCAGGCCCGGATCAATTGGGCCTGGCCCAAATAGGTAGGTGTAGACACCCAATTTGATCCAGGCCCGGATCAATTGGGCTTGGTCCAAATGGGTAGGTTCAATTTTATCTTTGTCATTTTTATTTTTATTTTATTTTATTTTATATTTTATGTATATCCTATGTATTTTATTATTTATGTATTATTACTAATATATATATATTTATTATTTTTTATCTTTTATTTTATTTATTTTTGTATTTTTATTTATCTAATTATATATATGATATTATTTTTTTTATTTATCCTATAATAATTTTTTATTTATCTTTTCTAATTATCTAGTTTTTTTTTACTTGATTTTTGGAGGGCTGAGATTGAAGGGTGAAGAATCCTACTGGGAATGGGGATTCAATCAAAAGAGTCTAATTGGATTCAAAAATTGAATCTCCGTCCAAGGAGGAATTGAGATTGATCAGGAACTCTTGATCAATCCCTATAAAAGGGACCTTCTAGAACAGATGCTGGACACAGAGAAAACAGTGAGCAAAGCTACTGAATCTGAGAGAAAAGAGATGTATAGAAGAGTTTTCGAAGGTTAAAAAAGGTTGAGATGAGTTAGGATAGCTGTAGGGATCGGAAATAATTTTTTAGAAATTTTTGGCGAAATTTTTTTTTGGAAATTTCTGGGAAATTTCCAGATTCTGGCAAAAATTTCGGTAACATTTGAATTTTTCGGCAATAATTTCGGTGAACCTTGAAGTTTTTGGTGACCTACCCAGTTCCCGGTGAACAATCCCAGAAATCGGTGATCTTTCGATAAACTTCCGACGAACCTCCGACGAATTTTTCAGATTCCAGTGACTTTTTCCAGAATTCGACAAAAATTCGATCGGTGTTCTTCAGGCCCTTTAGAGAGAGAGGAGAGGAAAAAAGAAGAAGAGAGAGAGAGGGGAGGCGTGTTCTGTCGAAAAACAGAGGGAAGTGCCTTTTATACCTTCTCAAAACGACGTCTTTTTGGCCTTAAGTAACTAGAGGATCCGCGCGTTTTGCCGAAACCCGACCCGACCCGAGCCAAGCCGAGTCGAGCCGAGCTTCCCAAGCAACCCCTCGAGCCATTTTTTCTTCCTTGAGCCGAGCCGCTCAAGGTTTATTTTTTTTTTTGAAAATTTTTTTTATTTTCATTTATTTGTTTATTTTTTTTCTATTTTTTTATTTATTAGATTAGATTTATTAAATATTTTTTATCTTTATCTTATTTTTATTTTTGTTTCACTTTTCTTTATTTTTTTTCTTCTTTATTTACTTTTACTTTTCTTTGTTTTATATTCTTTAAATAAAAATAAAAAAAATATTTTTGAGGAAAAGTTGAAAGTATCAATTTTCCTTGGAAATCAAAGTTTAAAAAAAATTATCTTTGAGGAAAAGTTGAAAGTATCAATTTTTCTTAGAAATAAATTTCAAAAAAATATTTTTGGGGAAAAGTTGAAAGTATCAATTTTCCTTAAAAATAAATTTTCAAAAAAAAATTTTTGAGGAAAAGTTGAAAGTATCAATTTTTCTTGGAAATCAAAGTTTCAAAAAAAAATATTTTTGAGGAAAAGTTGAAAGTATCAATTTTCCTTAAAAAATAAATTTCAAAAAAATAATTTTTGGGGAAAAGTTGAAAGTATCAATTTTTCCTACACAAGAACAATCATCATTTCCTTCCTTTCTATTTTGATTTTGATTTTCATTTTTTCTTAATTAATCCGACGACGGAGCTTCTACAAGTGAAACAGTAGTTTTTCTTGCATACTCTTGAGGTGGGAGAATTTTCTTAATTTTTTGCTAAAAGTATTAGAGTCAATTGAGAATAATTTCGAATAATTAATTACTTGATAAAATTTTAAGGCTTATTGGATAACACAAAATTATGCTGCTACCATCTTTTGATGGGCGTTGTAAGGGTGCTATAACTTTTCTCATACGTAACCGAACTCCCGAACCCTATTCTGGTTAGTAGACCCGAACCTATTCTTTTAGGGACCCTTAAGCTTAGGTGTTCCCTGAAAGGACAGATTCTTAAGGTGGCCAATCGCACCTAGATAAAAAAGATTGGTGGCGACTCCTTAAAGTCAATGTCTAGCGATAGATCCCCGGATCTAGACGTTATGACAGTAAATTCTTAAGAAATCTCTAGGTGAAAAATTTCTTTAAATTTATCCCAAATGATAGAAGAATTTAAATAAAATTTTAATAAAAAATAATTATCATATTATTTTCCTTTTGAAGACAAAAAAAATAAAAAAAATATTTCTAAATTGACCCAAATTGTGAAAAATTTAGAAATCTAATAAATAAATAAAATTTATAAATAGGCCCAAATGGTGAAAATTTTAGGAATTTAAAAATAGAAAATATTTTTAATTTGGCTCAAATGGTGAAATAATTAGATATATTTTCTACAAAAAAAATAATTAAACTTTTTTTTAGATGACGGAGCCTCTTCAATGAAACAAATGGAATCCTTGAATACTCTGGAGGTAAGAAAATATTTTTAAGAACTCTATCAAATTGATGGAAGAATCTTATAAATTATTTTTCATATTTAACATAAAAATTTTAAACCATTAGACTCAAGTCCTTAGGATAAATTTGAAATAATATGGTACCATCCTTCGGATGGACATGTGAGAGTGTCATAATTTTTTTCATATGTAACTGAACTTCAGAACCCTGTTCTGATTTGTAGATCCGAACTTATTCTTTTAGAGACCCTTCATCAAGCTTATAAGCTCCTTAAGATGATAGATTCCTTAGGTGACCAATCACACTTAGATAAAAAAATTGGTGTTGACTCCATTTGTTAAATCTAGCTATAGATTTACAAATCTATATGTTATGACATATTACAAAGTACAAAGCTATAGAAAATATTTATTTTTCTATTTTGTAGGTACTATTTTATGAGCTTTTTTTCTTTCTATTGACTATTCACTCAATTAGGTAATATTTTTTTTTATCTTAATTCAGCTTTCTTGCAATATGTAAAAACATATTCATTAATAGTCTACTTGATTACATTAATTTGAATATACCATTTATATTGAAATATTGTTACAAATAATAAGAACTAATTGGATTTTGAAATCATATATATATATATATAATATAATCAGCCCATCAATTATGATTTTGTATAAAAATTTGTAATTTGCTATACTTCTTCCTTGTCGAAGTCATAACACTATTTTTATTTATAAAAAAAGTTAGGATAAATTGAAATCCAATTTGATTTCATTCTTTTATATTTTTTAAATCAAATTTCATTTAATATGTACTTGATATTTTCTTAAACATAATTTAAAAAAATTTTGAATTTAAAAAATTAAGAAGTGTCTATGAATTTGGTGGTATCTAGTTGTAAACATTTTTAAATTTTAGATTTTCTTTTAAGTTTGAATCATATCACCTATTTAATTTATATTTATTATTAAAATGTTAAAATTTTATAATATTAAATATATTTTAAATTTAAAATTAAATAATTTTTTAATATAATAATATTTTGAATCCATACTTAAAAAGTTATGCATGTAATCAGAAATCTGACCCATAATCCAACTAACAAATATGTTTACTTCCTAATAAAGTTAAAAAAATTATGTTTAATTACGGTCCATTTTTGTTTTTTTTTTTTCAATTTCCTTTGTTTGAATTTTGAAAAATATTTATTAATCAAACATGAATATGAATATAAAAATACGTATTTTCTTAATTTATTTTAATTAGTTTAACTGAACAAGATTTATTTAACTAACTTTCTAAGATTTAATTGATATAAAATTATATATTTTTCATATGATAAATAATATTATCATACTTAAAGTGTATGAGATTATTTGGCAAGAGAAAAACAATTGAAATTAAAAAAATAATTTGTGATTTTTGAAATAAAATTATAATTAATCATGATTTATAGGATTCTTTTCATTGTATTTTAACTATAAATTAATTTCAAGCATAAATAATTAGATATATATGATTTTGTCTTTCTTTTAAATTTTAAAAATTTGAATAGCTAATAATTTTTTAAATATATTTGTTTGAAAAATAACATAAAATTAAAAATTATCTTACGCATCATTATGAAAATAAATTATTTTACACAAATTATTTTTGTTTATCTTATTAAATAAATAACAAATAACTAGATTAAATGATAAATAATTTTTAACTTGTTACATCACAAACTAAATTTCTTAAAAAAATGATTTCAATTACAATTAAAAAATAATTGATTAAAAAATAATTGAAAGTAAATTAATAAAACAAGATAATTCGTAACAAACTAGTTATAATATAAAATAATAATAATTATTGTTGTTAGGTATAAGTTATGGTAAGGTGAAATGTGCCCACCATCAACGCCAGCACATGCAGGGCAGGATTGGTGAGTCAGCAATGAAATGCAAAAGTAACCCCTCATAATAACGACAATCCTCCGATCATTTGAAATTCTATTTCTACGGGCGTACTACATGTGTTCTGTACTTGTGGGGTTAGTGCACGAAACTACACTCCTAGGCTTAAATTATAAGGCTGAAGAGTGTGTCCTTCACCCCACTTGCCTTTAGGTCTGTTTCACTTTGTGATTATAATTCTTCATTTGATCTCTCTTGCTTTGCTTCTCTCTTTTCAGTTCAGATCAAGGGTTTTCTGGTCCTAGCAATGGCGGAGAAGGTTCCTAACTAGATATCTCTTTTCTCTATAGTTTCGTTCAGTACTAAACATCTAACACCCAATTCTTCCTTTTTTTTTTTATTGTTTTTCTCCTTGTCCATGTTTACCTGTATTGTATATTTTTATAAAAAGTTATTGTTATTTTTCGATTCTGTGGTTCTTTCTTTTCTGTGCTCTTCAATAACTTATCTGCCCATTCTTCCATGTCCGAACCTGAGTCTTGTATTGCCCTTTCGCTTGTCTCTAAAGCAGAAAAATGCTTTGGTTGCTAATGGTGATATATGGAATTAATTACTACGATCTCTTTCATCATACATACTTAATTACTTGTAGTACTATATTTTTACTTTTTGTTTTATCCTCAAATAAGAAACCCGCCCTGATGTGTGTACGGATGTAGGTGACGACAATGGTACTGAAGGTCGACCTGCAGTGCTGTCGCTGCAACAAGAAGGTCAAGAAAGTACTCTGTAAATTCCCTCGTGAGTTTCTATCTTGAATTTTTATGCTTAATTCTCTTTGTATATCTGCATATGTGCATAATTATTTTATTTATATAAATAAATCTTATTTGTCATTTTATCTATATATACTTAGTAATGAGTTAGAACATAGTTAGTTAGTTAGTTAGGTGATCATCGAGCTCAAGGAGAGAAATGGTCTAAGTTGATATTTGATGATGGCTTTTGTGAACAAAAGAAATACGAGACCAGATATACGACGAGAAGGCCAACACGGTGACAATCACGGTGGTATGCTGCTCTCCGGAGAAGATCAGGGACAAGATATGCTGCAAGGGTGGCGGATCCATCAAGAGTATTGAGATCAAACCACCTCCACCACCTCCAAAACCCAAGGAGCCTGAGAAGAAACCTGAAAAGGCTAATGAACAGGAGAAGAAAAAACCTGAACCTGAAAAGCCCAAGGAGCCTGAGAAGAAACCTGAAAAGCCTAAAGAACCTGAAAAGAAACCTGAGAAGCCTAAAGAGCCCGAAAAGAAGCCGGAGAAACCAAAAGAACAGGAAAAATCACCTCCAATGGCCTATCCGCCAATTGGATTTTGTTGCACGGATTGTTATCATGGACATGGTGGGGGCCCTTGCCACTTTGGTGGACCAACCCCACGGCCATGTTATGTGACCTATGGTAGGCCGGTTTATGATAGCTGGGGCTGCCGCGGCGCCGGCTACAATTACTGTTTTACCGAAGAAAACCCACAAGGTTGCTCAACCATGTAACGTGATACATGTTAATGAGCGCATCGTCAATTCATGACATCACTGATAATCATCTTCTAGTTGTCTCCGTTGAATAATCAGTCACTTTTACTTGCATGTGAATTTTTTTTTTTTTGAGTATATAAAGGTTTTTACAGCTCGTACGAAAAAGATTAATAAAGGTTGGTGGTGGAATTGGTGGAATCTTTAATAAAAAATAAAAAAAAAAGTTAAAAGTCTCTATCGTATAGATGATTTGCTTTTTCCATGGTGCGTTTCCTTTCGCCTTCTGTTTTTCTTTTGTGTATTAGTATCTTAGTCAATTTCTTGCTGTTAAAGTATTGCAAAGAAATCCAGCTCCAGGGTCATGGAATTTGATAACTACTTCGTCGTTAAGCCCCAAGTCATCTAGAAACTTTAGCTTCGTGTCATGGCATGCGACTTAATGCCTTCATATATGCCTCAAACAATATATGCTTTAATGTAATTACAACACCACCCGTTATGAGTTAACTTGTGGAATCAAGATCAACATCAACATACGTATTTAATCCAATGTCTTTGTAACTTTAACTGATGTATATAATTGTGAATATATATTATAATATAGGATTAATATTTAATATATTATTTTTAAAAACTGTTAATGAATAATATAAAAATATTTTATTAATAAATAAAATTTTTAAATTTCAAATTTTTAAAAATAAATATTAATAAATTTATCTAAAATTAATTAATTAAAATTAAAAATTTTCTCTTTTTTGTCACCTCCTCTGTATTTGCAGAATATTTTCTTTTCTACTCTTTCTCTGTCTCTGTTCGAGGGCACAGGCACACAGACAGGTTGGTTGAACTCTATTCTCTTTCAATTGAAAAGATTCCGTTCTCATCCGTCTACTTCGTTTCGGAGCCTATTCCAAGTCTTGCAATTCGCATTCATTTCCATTGGGGAGTTCCCGCTGGTGCTCATTCCATTCAATTCGGAACACCGTCGGATTGTTATCATGGACGTGGTGGGGACCCTTGCTACATTGGTGGACCACCACCGCCAGTTGTCAATCCTGGGTTTTGTTGCACGGATTGTTGTCATGGACGTAGTGGGGGCCCTTGCTACATTGGTGGACCACCACCACCACCACCACCACCGCTAATTTTCATTCCTGGGTTTTGTTGCACGGATTGTTATCATGGACGTGGTGGGTGCCCTTGCTACATTGGTGGACCACCCCCACGCCCTTGCTATGAGGCCTATGGTAGGCCAGTTTGTGATAGCTGGTGCTGCCCCTGCCGTGGCTACAATTACTGTTTTAACGAAGAAAACCCACAGGGTTGCTCAGTCATGTGACGTGATACATGCTACTGAGGCCATCGTCAAATCATGACATCACTGATAATCATCTTGTAGTTGTCTCCGTTGAATATTCAGTCACTTTTAATTGCATGTGGATTTGTTTTTTTTTATTATTATTATTATCTAAAGGCTTTTACAGCTCGTAGGAAAAAGATTAATAAAGGTTGGTGGTGGAATCTTTAATAATTAATAAAAAAAAAGATTTGCTTTTTCCATGGTGCTTTTCCTTTCACCTTCTGTTTTTCTTTTGTGTATTAGTAGCTTTGTCACTGTCTTTCTGTTAAAGTAATGCAAAGAAATCCAGATCCAGGGTCATGGAATTTGATAACTACTTGGTCGTTAAGCCACAAGTCATCTAGAAAGTTTAGCTTAATGTCATGGCATGCGACGTAATGCCTTTTTATATGCCTCAAACAATATATGCTTTAATGTAATTACAACACCACCCGTTATGAGTTAACTTGTGGAATCATGATCAACATCAACATGGTATTTAATCTAATGTCTTTGTAACAAATTTAACTGATGCATATAGAATTGTGAATATATATAGTATAATATTTATACTATGCTCTTGCAAAACAATCATTTTAATTTAAAAAAACCAAAAAAAGAAAAATAGAGAGAAAAAAGCTTCTAAATTTTCTATCCAATATCTTCTTCTGTTTTCATGATCCCCTTGCTGTATCTGAAGAATTAAAGAATATGAAGTGTCGTCGTCATCCGGCTAAAATCTAACATCTCATGTATACGTTTAATATCCTTGTTGTAAAATGTGAACGAGACATCTCAATCGCGTCTCTTTCGTTGCCCCAAATTAATTAAGCATGAGGATGCGCCTTTTCAATATTCGCTAGTCAATCAAAATAAATGATCATCCATTACTTGATATGAAGAAGCCAAACCAATTACAAAACAACGTACAACCCCGAAGATAAGCCTATAATTCCCAAACTTTCACGTCAAACGGAAGTAAACGTTTCCTAGGGGTGCATTTATCACGTGTCAAATTGCTTTTGCGCTGGCAGACAACCTGCTTCAAACTCTTTTCCCCTTGTTTGTAAGAAAGAAAAAAAAAAAAAATGGAAAACGAAAAATCATAATTTAATAACAAATATTATTTTATATCTCAAATATTATATTAATATTTTTCTTTACGGCGTTATTTCTTAGCTATTTTCAAGCGGCCAAATTGATTCAATATCCTGGCTGTAAAATATGAACGAGTCATGGCAAAGTCGTCTCTGACGGTTGCCGCAAATTATTAAGCATACGGATGCGCCTTATAAATGTTCACAAGCCAATCAAAATCAACATCCAAGCTGTAAATCATCCATTGCTTGACATGAAAAAGCCAAACCAATTACAAAACAATCGTACCACCCAGAAGAAAAGTCTCTAGACCCCCAAACTTTCACATCAAATGCAAGTAATGTTAATTAGTAAATGACAATATATTCTTAAGCTCTCAAAATTAAAACTTAATTAATTTTATTATTTATTTTCTTCCCGATTTCACATGAATTTAAAAAAGAGTTTTGAATTTTACATTGAATATAATAAAAAAATTATTAAAATATAAAAATATTCACATCATTTTTATTTTGTGAGACGTTTTTTGTAAAATAAAATCATGAAATCAAGGGATCATAACGGAAAATATCTCATAAAGTTATGAACCGTGACGATCAGACTAATTCGAGATGTCAGAAGGGTGAATGTCTAGATCCCGGAGTCGCGTAGATTCGAAGCTTAAGTCTCGACCCGTGACAAGTGATATCAGAGTCAACCTTAAATCATTCAACTCACGTCAAACACCTCGAATGAAATAGATAAAAAAAAATCTTTAATCTCAAATCGAATATAATAAAAACGTCAATAAAATATAAAATGGTTCACTCCAACTCTGTCTTTTGAAACGTATTTTGTAAGATAAAACTGTGAGTTCAGGACATCAAAACGGACAATACCTCATAATAAAACTTAAATCTCGATTCGTGATACTTGCACGATCCTTAATCATGTGAATACGAGCTCTACGTAACGAAATCCTCCCGATCATTTGAAATTCTATTTCTACGGCATGCTCGATGTGTTCTCTACTTATTGGGTGTTAGTGCACGAAAGTACACTCCCTAGGCTTAATTTATAGGGCTCTTGAGTGAGTCCTTCACCCATCGTGCCCTTTGGTCTGTTTCACTTTGTAATTATAATTCTTCATTTGATCTCTCTTGCTTTGTTTCTTTCTTTTCAGTTCAGATCTGGGATTTGAGGTCCTAGCTATGGCGGAGAAGGTTTCTAACCATATCTCTTTCCTTTATAGTTTCTTTCAGTACTTAACAGCTAACACCCATTTCTTCTTCTTCTTTTTCTTTTCGTTTGTCTACTGGTCCATGTTTCCCCGTATTGAATATTTTTGTAAAAAGTTATTGTTATTTTTCGATTTTGTGGTTCTTTCTTTTCTGTGCTCTTCAATAGCTCATCTGCCCATTCTTCCATGTCAGAACCTGAGTCTTGTATTTCCCTTTCCCTTGTCTGTAAAGCAGAAAAATGCTTTGGTTGCTAATGGTGATATATGGAATTAATTACTACGATCTCTTTCATCATACATACTTAATTACTTGTAGTATTATATTTTTACTTTTTGTTTTATCCTCAAATAAGAAACCCGCCCTGATGTGTGTACGGATGTAGGTGACAACAATGGTACTGAAGGTCGACCTGCAGTGCCGCCGCTGCTACAAGATGGTCAAGAAAATACTCTGTAAATTCCCTCGTGAGTTTTTATCTTGAATTTTTATGCTTAATTCTCTTTGTATATCTGCATATGTGCATAATTATTTATTTATATAAATAAATCTTATTTGTCATTTTATCTATATATTGAATTACAACATAGTTAGTTAGTTAGTTAGTTATTTAGGTAATTAATCATTGAGCTCAAGGCGAGAAATGGTCTGAGTTGATATTTGATGATGGCTTTTGTGAACAAGAGAAATACGAGACCAGACATACGACGAGAAGGCCAACACGGTGACAATTAAGGTGGTATGCTGCTCTCCAGAGAAGATCAGGGACCAGATACGCTGCAAGGGTTGCCGATCAATCAAGAGTATTGAGATCAAACCACCACCACCACCGCCACCTACACCAAAACCATCACCACCACCTACACCAAAACCATCACCACCACCGTCGCGGCCACCAACACCACCGCCTCCTGGGTTTTGTTGCACGGATTGTTATCATGGACGTGGTGGGGGCCCTTGCTACATTGGTGGACCACCACCACCACCACCACCACCACCACCGCTAATTGTCTTTCCTGGGTTTTGTTGCACGGATTGTTATCATGGACATGGTGGGGGCCCTTGCTACAATGGTGGACCACCCCCACGCCCATGCTATGAGTCCTGTGGTAGGCCAGTTTATGATAGCTGGTGCTGCCCCTGCCGTGGCTACAATTACTGTTTTAACGAAGAAAACCAAAAGGGTTGCTCAGTCATGTAACGTGATACATGCTACTCAGCCCATCGTCAAATCATGACATCACTGATAATCATCTTGTAGTTGTCTCCGTTGAATATTCAGTCACTTTTAATTGCATGTGAATTTGATTTTTTTTTTTTTATATAAAGGTTTTTACAGCTCGTAGGAAAAAGATTAATAAAGGTTGGTGGTGGAATCGGTGGAATCTTTAATAATTAATAAAAAAAAAGATTTGCTTTTTCCATGGTGCGTTTCCTTTCACCTTCTGCTCTTCTTTTGTGTATTAGTACCTTTGTCAATGTCTTTCTGTTAAAGTAATGCAAAGAAATCCAGATCCAGGGTCATGGAATTTGATAACTACTTGGTCGTTAAGCCACAAGTCATCTAGAAAGTTTAGCTTAATGTCATGGCATACGACGTAATGCCTTTTTATATGCCTCAAACAATATATGCTTTAATGTAATTACAACACCACCCGTTATGAGTTAACTTGTGGAATCATGATCAACATCAACATGGTATTTAATCTAATGTCTTTGTAACAAATTTGACTAATGCATATAGAATTGTGAATATATATATATGGTATAATATTTATACTATGCTCTTGCAAAACAATCATTTTAATTTAAAAAAAAAAACCAAAAAAAAAAAAGAGAGAGAAAAAAGCTTCCAAATTTTCAATCCAATATCTTCTTCTGTTTTCATGATCCCCTTGCTGTATCTCAAGAATTAAAGAAAATGAAGTCGTCGTCCGGCTAAAATCTAACATCTCATATATACGTTTAATATCCTTGTTGTAAAATGTGAACGAGACATCTCAATCCCGTCTCTTTCGTTGCCCCAAATTAGTTAAGCATGAGGATGCGCCTTTTCAATATTCGCTAGTCAATCAAAATAAATGATCATCCATTACTTGATATGAAGAAGCCAAACCAATTACAAAACAACGTACAACCCCGAAGATAAGCCTATAATTCCCAAACTTTCACGTCAAATGAAAGTAAATGTTTCCTAGGGGTGCATTTATCACGTGTCAAATTGCTTTTGCGCTGGCAGACAACCTACTTCAAACTCTTTTCTCCTTGTTTGTAAGAAAGAAACAAAAAAAAAAAAAAAAAAGAATGGAAAACGAAAAATCATAATTTAATAACAAATATTATTTTATATCTCAAATATTATATTAATATTTTTCTTTGCGGCGTTATTTCTTAGCTCTTTTGAAGCGGCCAAATTGATTGTTATGTGACAAGTGTAAGGGTAGTAGCTGGGGATTTGGTTGCATCGAATATATATATATATATATATATATATATATATGCGCGCATGATATTATTCTTTCCTGACGATATATATATATATATATATATATATATATATATGCGCGCATGATATTATTCTTTCCTGACGATAACCTGCAATGATGCGACCACCAAACCATTTTTCATATTAAGTAATATATATTATAATTAAAAAAAAAAAAGAAAGAAGAAGCGTGATCGTTGTCGGTCCCGGATTAAAGAAATGCAAAGCCCTAAGACTGGTCACTGGTGGATGATGATTGAAACAGAAGGGAAGGCAAATTTCTATGCATCAACTTAATTAAATGGCACTAGAAATTAAAGAAATTAAGTAATGTAGTGTGATTTAGCAACAAGACAAGAAATTATTAATGGAGAAAGTGGATGAAGTGATAAAGAATAAAATACCACAATATATATAAGGTTTTAAGAAGTCGAATATTGATGGAATCATTAATCATAGGTTCCATCAAATAAATATTAATGAAAGATGCCATTGCCGTTGTCGGTAACCAATAGCTTCAAGTTGCTACTAGCTTCGCATCTATAACATTAAAGTTACTTCAAAAGTGAGATTCCTCCATTTCAAAGACGACATTTAAGTAAAACATGAAAAATGATTAAAAGATTAATTAAGGTATAAATTAAATTGGTTGGAATGATTTGAAGAAAGAACTTTTGATATATATATATATATTTTTTTGGGCACATTGTAATCATTTTTTTTTTGTTTTTTATTTTGGTACTTTTCTTTTTATTTATTTATATTATATTATATTATTGTTTTAATTTAATTTTTGTTTTACTGATTTGCTTATGTATTTGTCCATTTTTTATTTACATACATATTTAAAATTTTATATTAAAAATATGTTTTAATCATTTGACAACATAAAAAACTAAAAATATGTGATAGACAAATAAATTTGTAATTTTTTATAATTATTTTTATTTATTTGTAACATGTAAAATTAAAAAATGAAAATAAATAAAAAATTTTCCAATGATGAATTTAAAAGAAAATTGCAAGTGGTGTTTGAAATTTTTAGGTGATGATTTTCTTAGAATCTTTACCAAAAGTGTTTGAAAGATTTTAGGAGTATTTCAATAAAAAATATTTTATTTATTTTTAATAAAATATTTTGTAAAAATAAAGGTTGGTAAAATAAAAATAAACTCTTTCTATAAAGTCTTAAATTAATCTGATGGTATATTTTTTTCAAGAAAATAAATGAGTCTTTTTAACAATTTTAAAATGGATAAATTTTCTCAAAGTTCTATCAAAATATTTGAAAAGTTCTAAAAACCTTTCAATATTTTAAATAATAAAATTTAATTAAAAATAAAAAACCATTTACATAAGATCATTTTAAGATAATATTAAATTAATTTGTATTGTCTTAGGACGTGTGTTACGAGGGTATCAATACCTTGTTCACACGTAGACTAATCAATAACATGATATATGATAAAAGTTATCTCCAAGTGGGGGATAATTCCCAATCGAGTTGCCAAGTTACTTTCAATTCGTCAAATAGCTATTGGTTGATAGAAAGATTTAATAAGTTATAGGGTTTAGCAGATCATAAGACAATGGCCTGGAAGGGCGGCCTAACAAAAAGTTTGTAGCCCAGTGAATCTCTTATCTTATTATAAATACACCTGCTTTTTGGTTTATTTTATTTATTTATTTATGGGGTAACACTTTCCGCGCCGTCTTATAATTTTGTATTTCTTATTTATATAAGATTTGACTTAATCACAACCAATTAAATTGAAAATCTCAAATTATAATCATTGTGTTTACTTTCACGTATCATCTTAAATTTTGTATAGCTATATTTATATATGAGAAAAGTTGTCTTTTCACACCTCATCCACTCGAGACATAACGAAAGAATTGCAAAAACAATGAATTATGATGCACTGCTTTTTTTATTTACAATTTCTTTTTTCTTTTGGTAGAGGTCAAGTCGAACAAAAGTAGATATTTTGATGGAAACAATAAGAAAGCGAATCGCAACGTGGAATCTACAAGGTTAAAATGGTCAAATTAGATAAACTATCTATCCATGGCTTTTTGATAAGGAAAAACAACAGGCCATTCCTTTCTCTCCATGCAATCTGCATCTACGCTTCTCTTCTACTGTCTCGAGCTTTGAGTGTATAAGTTAGCCAAAGGCCAAAGCTTAAACAAATAGATAGAAAAATGGCGTGTCATCATCTATGCTCCTCAACTTCTTCTCTTGCCTGTGACCTCCACTCTCTCTCTGCTTCACCCAAACCAAGACCTATAAGAAGTTCCGCTCCTTCTCTAAAGCTGCTTTCCTTCTCCTCACTATCTAAAACCTCTATCCAAGTAACTCATGTCTCCTTGAAAGACCCCTTGACCAAAGAAACCGAAAAGCCTCCAAAACTCTCCTTTTCGCAGTACCCAGATGGCAAAACCAATACCCATGCGTGGGTCAATCCCAGAAGCCCCAGAGCTTCACGCCTCAGGCAATTGTCTTATGATTCCAGGTACTCTTCTCTGCTCCAAGTAGCTGAGTCTTTGGATTCTTGCAATCCAAATGAACAAGATGTTTTAACTGTTTTGACTAGTTTACGTTACGATGTTTCGGAACGAGATGCTGTTGTTGTTCTCAATAACATGTCAAACCCTCATACCGCATTGCTTGCTCTTAATCATTTTCAAAGGACACTAAGGAAACCAAGTCGAGAGGTCATTCTTTATAATGTCACCATCAAGGTTTTTAGAAAGTCTAAGGATTTGAATGGAGCTGAGAAACTGTTTGATGAAATGCTTCAAAGAGGGGTTAAGCCCGACAACGTTACCTTTTCAACGTTGATTAGTTGTTCTAGGGTCTGTGCTTTGCCCGGTAAGGCTGTTGAGTGGTTTGAGAAAATGCCTACATATGGGTGTGATCCACATGATGTCACTTACTCTGCCATGATCGATGCCTATGGCCGGGCTGCAAATGTTGATATGGCCTTCACCCTGTATGACCGTGCTAGAACAGAAAAATGGCGTATTGATCCTGTTACCTTTTCAACTTTGATTAAAATATATTGGATATCTGGAAATTATGATGGCTGTTTAAATGTTTACGAGGAAATGAAGGCCTTAGGTGCTAAACCTAATGTAGTTATATATAATACTTTGTTGGATGCCATGGGGAGAGCCAAGAGGCCTTGGCAGGCCAAGACTATTTACAAGAGCTGATAACCAATGGATTTTCACCAAATCGGGCAACCTATGCTTCACTCTTATGAGCTTATGCGAGAGCTCGATATGGTGAGGATGCTCTTAATGTATATAAAGAAATGAAAGATAAGGGATTGGAGTTGACTGTTATTCTGTACAATACCCTTTTGGCCGTGTGTGCTGATGTTGGCTATGTAGATGAAGCTGTTGAAATTTTTGAAGACATGAAAAATTCTGGGACTTGCAAGCCTGACAGTTGGACATTTTCATCTTTGATTACCATATATTCTTGCAGTGGGCAAGTGTCGGAGGCTGAGAGGATTGTAAACAAGATGTTGGAAGCAGGTTTTGAACCCAACATTTTTGTTTTGACGTCGCTTATTCAGTGCTATGGAAAAGCCCAGCGTGCTGATGATGTTGTGAGGACATTTAATGAAGTTTTGGAATTGGGGGTAACTCCAGATGATCGGTTTTGTGGTTGTCTTCTGAATGTGATGACGCAGACACATAGAGTAGAACTTGTTAAGCTCATGGATTGCATTGAGAAGGCTAATCCAAAACTAGGTCATGTGGTAAAACTTTTTATAGAGGAGCAAAATGGTGAAGGGAATTTTAAGAATAAAGCATCTGAACTTCTTGATTATATTGGTTCTGATGTAAAAAAGGCTTACTGTAATTGTTTAATTGATCTTTGTGTTAACTTAGATCTCTTGGAAAGAGCTTGTGAGCTGCTAGAGCTGGGGCTTTCCCTTGACATTTATGCTGACATACAATCTAGGTCTCCAACTCAGTGGTCCTTGAATCTTAAGAGTCTATCTCTTGGTGCAGCTCTGACTGCATTGCATGTTTGGATTAATGATTTGACAAAAGTACTGGAGTCTGCGGAGGAGCTTCCTCCATTGCTTGGAATCAATACCGGACATGGGAAGCATAAATATTCGGAGAAAGGTTTGGCAACTGTCTTTGAGTCACATTTGAAGGAACTAAATGCTCCATTCCATGAAGCCCCAGACAAGGTTGGCTGGTTTTTGACGACAAAGGCTGCAGCCAAGTCATGGTTGGAGTCAAGACGTTCACCTGACTTAGCGGTTGGTTAGGTAATGAGCTCATAAAGAAGTGTTTGAACCCAGGTCAGTGCTTTGATGGTGGGAAATTTTTCTATATTGTATTTTTGGTGTAGAAGCAAGTTATGGTTCTATCAATCAAAAAGGTGGCAAATTTATCATCTGCACATAAAAATTGGCTAGGAAAAATTTTCAAAAGGAAAAATCGAAGGCAATGGACAATGGAATTGGCATAGTTTTCATGATAGCCACTAACAAGTGCTCACGTTCTTTCAATATTGCAACTTGCGACCAATATGAGGGGAATCTGATTTTTACCAGCCATTGCAAGCAATAGGGTTTAGTTAAATTGTCCTCCTATGCCCATTTTCAGTCCACTAGATCAAACAGTGTTCTTGCCTTTTATGTTGATGTGATACTGTTTTCGGGTTACCTGTGTTCTATAAAAACACTTTTTGTTGATGTGATTCTCCATAGATATCTTGTGCTTTAATAGTCTCAATTCTATAACCTCTCCCTCGTTTCCGTATTCTCTGTTTTCTGCATTCTTTTGCGGTTAGGATTCTACATCTAGCAGTCACCAAAACATAAATTACAGCTCTATAAAAGTAAGGAAAGAAACCAAGTGAATCGTATTGGATAATCATTTATACAAACGTCAAGCATTAGAAAACACAATTGGACATCATCCTAGGATGTTATAAAGATCAGGTCTCCAACCAACAGTCCAACCCTATTTCTTTTACAAACCAAATTTCATCAATCAGAAACTTTATTTGTGACTCGCTACAATCAGCAAAAACATTCAATATTTACATTGAAAATCAGAAGACATGGAAAACGAATCAAATGAAGTCCAATTTTTCTACAACATCCACGTACCATCCATGGGAATCTTCAAGATGTTTTGCTTAACCTGCTACATCCAAACCATTAAATGTGTTAAGAGATCTTAAACAAGGTCAATTTAATGATAATAACTGATAAATGCATCATTAAAAGCAAAAATGTTTGCATAAAATTATCTTTCTGATAAACATTGTGAATTGAAAGTATCTAAACAAGAGTAAGAAGTTAAAACAATAGAATAACGGGGAGAAAAATTTGAAGGATAGAACCAACCTTCTAGAGGAGTCGTTGTTATTTATCTTTTTGGTATCATCCATTTTGGCTGATCGATTTTCCTTTTCTTTAGCTACTGCTTCTCTCTTCACCCGTTTGGACTCCACTTCCATGGCTCTTAAGAATGCTTCAACCTTCTTCACTAGCATCTGTAAAGAATTACAGCATCTTTCAGTAACTCATGCATTGAGTATCAAGAGAGAGAGAGAGAGAGAGAGAGAGAGAGAGAGAGAGAGAGAGAGTTACTGGTGCTTCACCTTTATTTCTTCATCTTTAGCATTCAAACTGCTGTCTTTAGCCTCACAGCACTTCCTTAAATTGATGACCTCTTTCTGAAGCCTATCGTACAAAAACCCTGAAACCACATCTTCAGCATTGCAATCGGCATTTCCTCTGTTATCTGTCTGTTCATTGCTACCTGTCGTGTCATCATCTTTATGGATATTAATATCCGTGTTTACCTTCATTTCAGCATTTTCCTTCTCATTACTATCAGCAACCTTAGACCTAGACGCCCACAAATTTTTTCTTAGCATATTTTCTCCCGATGCAGCCCTCTTTTTCAAGCTATTTGCTTGTTTTATTCCGGTATTAGCATTGGCTTTGCCATTTTCTACACTTGGCCGCTGCAGTAGAGAACTTCCACTGATGGTGGAAGCCCTTGGCTGAGAGGTAGACCTCTTTCTTAGTCCACCGCTGCTTGTTAAAAACCCTAAGATGTTGCTGGACTTTTCTGGTTTTGGGGACCCACAAGATGCATTAGGATTAACTGAGAAACTTGATACATGTTTTAAGCCATCTTCCAAGGTCTTGAGCCTTAGCTTGAATTTATCCTAAAGCATATTTACATTGAGCTTGAGAAATAGTTTAATAAGATTCAAGGTGAAGAACGAAAAGATCTTCTAATTAAGCTATCTGGTCAACAAGTCAAATTTCACCTTAAGCTGTGCTTCTGCCCTTGCTGTTCTCTCTGACACAGCTAGTTTGTCTTTCAATCTTTGCATCTCGGCCTGTAAAATACAGAAGTTTAACAACTAATTATAGTAACTTCATCGTCATGTTTATTGATCAATAAGTTATTTACCTGCAGCAGCCTTCTGTCCTCCAGCCATTGCTTGATAGGCATTACTTTGTCATTCTCATCCTTCCACTCATTAGCCACCACAGTCGCTACGCGGTTTGCTGAAACTTTGACTCTTGCGAGCTCCCTTTCAAGTGTCCTCTTTTCCTCCTGAGTAATTGACTCACTACAGTTAGTAACTATTTGAACAACAAACTACCATGCATGAATCAGAGTATCATAATTCTTGCAGAAAAGATGATCAGAATTTTAAATCGCAATCCTTGAAATCAGCATGCAAGCATGGCACCTACATGAAGTTGATAAATTTGTCGCTGATAGTCACGGATAGAATTAGCAGCAGCCCCACCAGCCAAAATGGCCTCTTCAAGTTCCTGAATGGTTTGGCTAAGCTTTTCAACCTCTAAGACCTTTTGGCGATTGGTTTTCTCAAGGATCTTATTCTCCTCCTGCATAAAGTAAATTTGGATTGGCTAAATAAAAATTTGAATCCCTCTTTAGGAACCATGCTGAATAGGATCGGCGCTACACTTGCCTGGCAAATCTCAATCTGTCTCCTTAACTCAAAGTTCTGGTTTTGAATCTCCTCAACTATTAAAGCCCTTTCTAAAGCACTTCGCAAAATCCTCTCTGCTTCAAGCAAAGCAGACTCTTTTGACTTAGTAAGACGTTCCAAAGCCCTCTTATCCTCGTGTAGTATCGCAATCTGGTTCGCCAGAAGAGAGTGGAAGTGAGACTGAGCCTCGTGAAAAATTGGAGTCATGATGTTTCAAAGCAGCACATAATTTCCTATAACCCTACCTCATTTTTATACATTTTAATCTCTGCCTCCAGAGGAGCAATGACAGACTCAATAGAAACACCATCATCATTATCCTTTTGATTTGCATGCACTCTTCTAAGAGTTGCTTCTGCGGCAAATTGTGCAGCCAGTGCTTCTTTCTTCTCATTTGTCAGTCTCTTGATTTCAAGATTCTATATAGAAGAGGATTTGAGCACCACTAATTAAATGTAAAAATACAGAATTCAACATCAAGAAATTCCACAGAGAACAAGACGCACCTTAAGTTGGAGGAGATTCTCAGTGACTCTATGTTTCTCATCCAACTTTTGAACTTCACTCCGGAGCTGAAAAAACAAATAAATTGTTTCAGCATTTGTTTACAGAATCCGATGAGAAACTTCACCCTGCAATTTCAAATAATTCAACAAAATATATTCATAGTCACTAATTAAATAGCTGTAACACTTGGCGATAAATTCTTCTTCTGATTTAGTAGACAGATCGCATAGTACTAAATTTCTCATTTGTGTATCAAATCCAAGTCCAACTTGCGTTCAAAATTTTCACTACCTCTTCTATGGCCTTATCCTTCAGCACTTCAGTTGCTCTCAAAGCCTTGATTTCAGCCTGAGCAGCTCCTAACTCCCGGTCCTTTTCTGGAATAATATTCACAATGAGTAACATTACAGGTGACATTAATTGTTAGTTTATATTTCTTACCCCGTAATTCAGAGTTAACAGCCATAAACATTGAAAATATATGAATGATAAGAACAATTAAAACCAGACGTTTTCAGCACATATTCCTTTTGGCCAATATTTCTGTAACACTTGGTTTTTCATGTTCTGTTCTATTTGTGAGCAGTGAATACGTTAATCCAACAGGCTGCCTCCAACAGAACATAGCATAGAAAAAAAGGTTCTATTTCTACATCACAGCTATTAACACTATGATCTTGGCAGCAAGAGAGGTTTAATAAATATGGTAACCATGAGTCTCAGTCATCATTTTATTTCGGTTTTCCGTGCTCCTTAATCCTGGATTTCATTATCATGAGTTTATGACACCAATTGATGCATGCTCCATTTTCCATGCGGTCACTTATGAAGCAACCGTAATTATTAGCAGTACTTGTTATTTTATTTCTATCAATAAATTTGAACAAAAGGTGAACGTATGTTAAACCAAGAGAAAAACATACTAGCTAGTAGAATTTTCAGAGAGAATGATCGATCAGTAATCAAAGAGACAAATAACAATGATCCGATGACAAAGAGGAATCTGGAGGCTAACAGTTAAATATCAAATGCAAAACCAGCATGCATGTGAGAGTTGAAATTCAAAGTTGAAAGACCTTTGAGTTGGTTCTGCAATCGGGTGAGCTCTAACACAACAGGGTCAGGGTGAGCAAGAGAGAGGTCTTCGCCTCCGAATAGTTCATCATGACCTACCATCTTCTGTGTTTCTGTTTTGGCACTCGGCAATGCAAAAAGTAATACACCAAGTACAATAGCAACAAAAGCAACAACAACAAAAGATATAGGCTTGTTAGACAATAATATACAGGGGTTCTGTTAAAGAAATTAAGAGAGTCCATCCCTTTAAGGAATTGACCGCAAAGAGAGGAATATTGGCCTTCCCGTAATCTTAAGCAAGTATTGAAAGCTACTCATCCTAAACCCGGCCCTGCCTGTTCTCTCATTCTTGAAGACAGTAACGGTTACTTTCTTTTATTATCATGACAATGATTTCAAATTTTAATTCTTTAAGTAAATGATAAACCAACCATTTAAGATCAAAACTTATTCTTCCCAACGGTTCTGATTCATGATGATAACTGTTATTATAATTATTATTTTTTGATGAAACGATAACTATTACTTATTAGAGACTTACTTTTAATGCAATTTTTTCATTTTCATAGTAATATGTGGAGTAATTATGACGCTAATTACCACCTAACTAATCTCCATATATTCGTCTCTCCAAAAACTAAAACACCTAATCTTTGTGCGAATATATTTGGACTATATATCCAAGGTTAGAGATGGAAATATGCGGTGTACCAAAACTGTATTCGTTGGTGCCATTTGCTGCAATCTTACAGTGTATGACAGATAAAGTCTCAAAAACAGGCCTAATAATAGGGAGGCAAATGGAAAAGTTTTAAGTGTTTTATGAATTGCAATGCTTGCTTGTTAGCTGTCATTCTTTTCAAGACTCTGTTACGAACGTTGTCGGTGCATAAAATATAATATAATCAAGCAAAGGTATCTGAGGGGCCGGAAATTAGAAAAATAAAAAAAAGTGAGAAGCCATTTCCCAATTTTAATTCTTTTCCCGTTGTTCATACCTCCATGAAACAGAATAACTATTACTTTTGAAGTAACTACATTTATACAAGACACTGTATCAATGGGGTATATGACAATGAAACCCTGTCAATTATAGTAGTAGTTGCTTTCTAGAAGAAAAAAAAGAATTGAAATTAAAGTGGGAAAATTTTGGAGATGTCACATTTATTTCCTAAATTTTCCTTTTCGTACAATCATTTCTGTTGGAGCAAACAAAGTATTAAGTCCTGAGCAACGAAATTGAACATTCAATTAGATGAACAAGTAATAAAGAGAATCATTGAGAATTTTGGTAATGTCATGATCCCATACGTCAATGGAAAGGTCTTTCTTATGAGTAATTCAATTCCTTAAGCGCTAAATATTGCTGAAACAAAGGCCTTGTGTTCATACTTAGAGGAAGGCACTTAAAACGCAGTTTGAATTGAAAACAAGTTAATGAGGTGTTGATGACTCTCAACTGAAAGTGATAATGTGGCTGTGGCTTGAAAGAACAATCACGTTATTCTCGTGTATATATATATATATATATATATATATATATATATGTATTGACAATATACTCCCTCATCTCATCTTTGCTTTGAGGTATGATTGAACATTGGATATATAAAATGTATGTTAGTATGGATCCCAAGCTATTATTAGGCTTTACCCGCAAAAGCCATTTGGCAATTGTTAAGATATTACGTGGTGATTAGATAGGCGACAAAAGGAAGCCTCCACCAACACCCAAAGACCCTTTATTAAAGTAGAGAAAGGACGATAACCAAACCTGAATACAACCAAAAAAGTCAAATGGGATTTTGATTAAGATAAAAGTTTTGATGTTAATCATAGCTTAATTGAATTCTCCACTAATCTTGCTTTGAAATTGATGTCAATTGCGATCAAGCTAAGCTTCCAGAGTTTTTTTTTTTTTTTTTCTTTTCCTGTTTCTGATAGGTTTGAGTTGGTAACTTACTGTATGATTGTTCTTGTAGTTAAGCAGTCTTGCATTTTTGTAGTTATGGGTCCCAGCTTGTGAGAATTTGATGAATGATAACCGATCAATAATAATAATAATAAAAGGTTGAATCTTTTGGGTGCTGTTTGATCTGTTGGATTGCCTTGAAACCCACACAATAATGTTTTGATAGAGTAGAATACTTTATACAAAAACTTGGTGGAGCTAAGAGATGGAAGTACGTATGGTACGAGAGTCCCTGGCGTAAAGTGTTCATATAGGCTCTAGGCCTTTTTGTCAGATCAAATCTTAACGGATATGGGACTTGGGGCATCCTTTCCATCCATGATCCATACACTTTTCTCTCTCTATCCAAAAAACTGAAGCCCATTAGACTTCGACTGAACTGAGATTCAGCAGTTGCGGGCCTTTTCCCCTCTCAAGTTATGTGGGCCCCTGCGTCTTCCCATCTAAAAGAAAGTTTCTTTTTTAGGCCGAGCATCTAAAAGGAGGTTTGAAGGCCGGAAAAACACTGAAAGGCCCCAAGTTCCCTTTTAGATTCCACTTCCACGGCCTACCCAGAAGTCTATAAGTCTGATACCTCCAAACCTGATAATATCACTTTATGGATTCTATGCTTGTTTTTTTTCCTTTTATTTTTCTTTGGTCAGAATATCTATTCTGTTTCATGTTTTGCATTCAAAACCTGATTCGAGAAATATGCTTGAAAACATATTTTTCTTCTCACTTCTTCCGGGAGTTTCGCACTATGTTTTGGTTTCAATAAGTTGTTGATATTAGGACTAGATTTTGTTCTGTTGCCAATATAATTATTAAGTCAGCTACAGCTAGTAACAACGGGATATAAGCCAAACTGGTTACTTTGTAGGTTTCCTTTTTTTTTTTTTTTATTTATTTTATGTGTGTGATTCATGTATTCTGTTACTTTGGATTTTGAAATTAATCAAACTTCAATTATCCGAAAAAATAGAGTATATTTTGCTCAAGATTACATTCAATAGTTATGAGGACCAATATATAAAGTTTTCCCATCAACTTGATTTTTAGCTCTTCTTTTTTTCAAAATACAAGGAAATTACCAACTATATGGATGCTGAGGGCTAACAATTCCTATTCGGGCATAGTAAAGTTGATCAGACTGCCTATCATACTCTCTGTTTAGAAAAGGTTAATTAATATGAAAAGAAAGCGTTTGATTCACAAGGAGTAGGCAAGTGAACCTCAAAAAGCAAGCATTAAAATGGCTAGTGGAAGAACGATTGTCCTCCTATAACGTTATCCTTTCCACTACCCACCATCTAAAAAAAAAAAAAAAAAGGGAATAAACCCGTCCAGGTAGGAATGGGAACACTAATTATTCTTGGATTACCTAATCTTCATCTAACCGCACATGAGATGAGAGAAAAAAAAAAGGATATATTCCTTTCCTTGCCCTTTCTTTCCTAAATACTTATCTAATCTAATCACAGAGCAGCAGCCACTCGATTGATTGAGGGACAAAGCAACCGACCAATCCAAGAAGTTGACAAAGCATATGTACCAAAACATATCAGTTGCTACTCCGCAATGACTAACGTGTCCTCCCTCACCCTGCCAAATTTCTCCTGCCCCCTCTCTTTAATTTTCCTTGCCAAAAATGGGTCTGTTACATCAACATTTTGTTACTTTGATTGATATTTTGCAACTTTTTTTCATCTATAGGAAGAAAAAGGAAACAAGGATTCAAGAGTTAAGTTTTAATTTTAATAATAATAATAATAGCAAAAATATTTACAAAAGATGTTCTAATTAAATTTCAAAATAATTAATGAGATAATAGTTTAATGATAAAAATGAAATTTTAAAATCATGAAATTTTAGATTTAAGTTTCCTTTCATTTTAGTTTGGTTCAATTTTATATTAAATTTGTTTTATTATATTCTTAGTTGATTAATTTTTTATTTAGTTTTCTAATAATATAATAAATTATAATTATAATTTGTACTTACAATTTTATAAATTCCAAAATGTAACACTTTAACTAACTGGTTTTGAGTTCTTATGGGAGGGGGGAGTTGAGCGCTGGACCGGAATCCCTGTGTAGACAATTAAAACCTCAACTGTTTTTTGGGTTCAAAGTTTAAACCTTTGTTACAGGCAGGACAGAATGAGGAGGTTATAAATGTAATTAGAGAAATAGAGCCAAAATTAGAGTTGGATTAATTAGGAAGCAAGAAGAATCTCTCCAAGAAAAATAAGACACGAGGCGAAAGCAAAGTTTCAAAACTACTTTGAACACCACCATCGCCAATGTACATCATAAATGATACATTTCCTAAGGGAGGGACATATCTCAATTCCTACTCCTTTAGCCAAGAAGGCAATGGATATGCAACAAAAGCTGATCCAACACAGATACCATTTCACCATAGCAATCCTTGCCTCATTGATCATCGCCTTGCTATCATATGTAGCCCCTCGTCTGCCCACGATTCTCACCTACTTTTGGCCTCTTTTCGTTTCTACAACTGTGTTCTTGGTGGCAATAATGGCTTTTGGTGGTTTTTCACAGTTGGCAACTGACGCTCATGGTGAAAAGGCGGGTGAAGGACTATTGGACTACGTTGCAGCATTCCGGCCAGAGTATACAGATCAGGAGCCTCAGAAATTTGAGTAAAGAAAGATAGGGCCAGGTCTTGGTTCTCGATCGTATACGTTGAGCAATTAGATCGCATTTCTTTAGCTAGTTCACTGCATAGACAAAAGCTGTAATCTTCTTACTTCCGTTTCAAAATGTGAAAGCAACTACAATGTTCGTGGAAATTGTATGTTCCTTAATAATGATGGACGTGCCGTAGGCTTCTATGCATAATGATGGAAATTGTATGTATATGTATATGTAAACAATTTGAAGTAGCATGGAAGTGCTACTTTAGAAGTTGAATGAATCCGATAATAGATCTCCTAAAGGTTGGAGAAACATGCAAATATTGTGCCAAATGCAGAACTCAACCTGTACTTCACTCATTCTGATTCCATTTCAGTTGACACCACTTCAAAATTTGCATAATAGTATACATCCAATCCTTTCTCTTCTTAATCTTCTCTATCAGTTAAGCAACTTGGAAATTGAAATTGAATGATCCGACGTGCATGCCTAGACCTATTTTTGCTTTAATCTACTTGCAAGCGCAGTTCATCAGCTACATGATGTAAAAGTTCCCAGTTTTAGTCTCCCTTATGCCATTTGCGCCTTAATCAATTAAGTGTGCAAATTGTTTTCACAGGATCTTTTTTTTTTGGAATGGATTAGCAGAGTATTAAATCGTTTATGTTAAGTATCATATTCATGCCTATCAAACATATTTCTGAATGTTAAAACGTTTAATTGTGCATGTTACTACCACAATTTTTAATCTTTAAGCTAGGTTACTTACAAAATGAGAGGTTATCTTCTTTGTATCCCCAACTCGATCCGAAGACCTCGAGCTTCATCCAGGAAGGAGACACCACTTAACGTGAATGAGAACAGAATAATTGCCCCAAATGGCACGAGCAAACTCAAATCGACCAGCCACAAGCCCAAAACTATGTTGCTCCTTAATATGCTATGCAAGGCATTGCTGCTCTAAAAGTGCATTGGAGATTAAAACAATTCTTTCATTTTAAAGAACATTATTCCCTCTCCCTAATTCCTGGAATCCTTGAAAAAAAATTTCAATATGTTGATAATTACTGCACTGATTTAAGAAGGGTTAAGTCATCGGTTTTACATAAGAAATTGCTGCTCGCTCTACATGATTAGGGTGAAATCATATCCCGAGGATTAACATCAATAGTTTTGAACATCTCTACTAATAGCAAAATGTCTTCCCTTCCCTGACTGACCGTTGCCATTTCCTTCAGATGAACTCTGCATGCAGCACTGTCTGTCACAGAGGGAATTGACATGAAATAAGCATCATATGAAAGTTACAACAAGAGCAAAACCCATAGAAGATCCTTGAAGATAGGATAGGAGCTGTAGGAACAGTCCACCTTTAGAACGGGGAAAAAAAAGAGGAAGATGATTCAAACTTAAAAGGAATTTGTTTCTCTCTAGCCAGGGCTACACTCTAATTAAATTGAATGGACAATAACTAAAGACATTGGAATAAGTCAGACTAGCGTTCCAAGAAAAATCTTAAAATTGTCATTTACAATTAACTATATTTAATCTTTATAAACAATAATTTCTCCTCCTGGGGTTTACACAAAATTCTTTAGTAAGAAGATTTGTTTGATCTAACAGCACGCACTCAAATTCAAAAGATTGTCTTCTAGCAAGAAAACATTTTTTATAAAAAAAATCCTACTCTTTCTAATAGTAATAAAAGAGAAAATGTAATGAAATGTATTATTCTTGCCTTTTATTGAAATGATAATAAATGAAATCTTATTGCATAAAAGAATTTCTAATATTACTTTGAAAGAAAACCCAGAATGATAAGCAATATCCAACCAGCCTTAACATTCTTTTTTTTTTCAAAATTATGCCCTTAGGTGAAGGGTTTCTATTAGCATCTGACCTCTCTAATTCTTTAAAGCTCACTAAGTCCTTTCGGATCAAACTTGTTTTTAACTCTCACTCAAGGCATTGATATTGTGATTGGGAGTGGATTGCCACTAGCATTAAGCGTTGACAGTCCTCCTATATCAAAATTTATCATTTTATTCTTTATCAATCATTGCACTTTATGTTTTAAAATAGTGTAATTTTCAATGGAATGATCCCCAATTCCGTAGTGGTAGTCATAGTGAGCTCCAAACTATTAGAGACAATCAAGTGGTTGTTGTAGAGCTTTCAATAATTTATATAAGTTATGGGGATTAGGTCAAATACAAATTTTTTTCGGGTAGTTCATAGCTCTTATGAACCATTTGTTGGGTTAGTAAGTTAAAATTAAGGTCTTATTAGAGGTTAAGTGTTTAGGCTATATATAAGAGCATGGGGTCTAAAAGCGAACTAATAGATTGGTGAGTAAGATGGCAATGGGGTTGGTTGATATAGGTGGGATGAGGTATTATTCACTACAGGATAGTACGAAGAGTAACCTTATGATGGAAAAGGCTGATAACCCCTGAACTATTGTCTATCAAAACCCACAACTTGGGCTTTAGTCTCATTTTTTCTTGGAGCCTTCTCAGTGGGAACTTTTTTTTCTTCCAACTTGTCATTCTTAATGGCATTCTCAATGATTTCACCTGAGATCATTGTGTTAGCAAAATTTTTTATTGCATTCCTATCATCTTTTCATAAAAGAGAAATTTCAAAGTGCTGACAAATAACACTGTAATCTTTTTTTTAGTTAGAAGAAGTTGCACTTGAGTAGCTATATCTCTTTACCTTGGGACATACTCTTTGAATGATTCGATTATTATTTTCTACATATTTTACAAAGATAAATGATCAAGAGCTAAATCTATGATATGCCAATATTGACTAATAAAGTTGCGAGTCATGTCACTCAAAGACTGAATGTAGGTCTTATTAAGTTGGGCGTACCACCTAGCAGTAGAGCCAGTAAAGCTATTTTAAAACACATGCATTAATAGCTTCTCATTATTAGCGTAGATAATAATTTTTCAATAGTACATGGTAAAGCGGGTCTTTGGGCACTTTATACCATCATACTTCTCAAATTTTAAAACCTTGAATTTTGGAGGAATAATGATATCTAAGACTAAACAGAGCCCAACAGCATCCACAGAACCATAAAAACCAATTTTCTTTATTGCTCGTAACCTTTCCTTGAGCGTATTAATCTTCTAGTTAGCTATCGAGTACTCCAACGACTCACCTTCTTCTTTTTTTTTTTGGATCATCCAAATTAAGGACCTGGATTGATTTTACTGTCTTTTTAGTAAAGACAAAATTTACATAGCTATGGTAATGCCCTAGACTTAAAGCTGATGGTATTTCGGGGTATGTAGGGTATGTAAACTACTATAGTGGTGCCTCTTATGTAGACTAAGCTTGATGTGGACCAAATCAAGAGGATATAAAGGGTCAACCACCTTTTGTGATGGATGGGCTTACTGGCTAGTATTTTTCTCTATCCCTTTCCTTTTATTTAACTTGTTCAAAGCATCCAAAATCTTATTCAACTCTCTTTCAAGCATTTCTTATGCTTTCTTTATCCTTTCAAGATGATTAGAGTTTTCTTGTTTCATTTGTCTAGCTCGAGCTCTTATGTTTATTAGTGAGTTGATTGTATTGGGTTTTTATTTGGTGAAACTATCCTTGAACCTTAAATACCACAATTATATTATCAAAATGCTATGTTTTATGTTTGATATTTTGATGCATGAATGGAATATACATTTTCATGTATGAAATCTAATATGTGACAAATATTTTTTATATGAAAACGATGCAAATGCACAATATTAAATATGACAATGAAAATGATGCATGACATGATAATGCAAATGCACAAAGTCAAACAAACAAAATGGTTAGATAATCAAACTATTCCTTATTGTGTTTTAACTTCGGGTTACATATATCAATGAATAGAAATGGCTTTATCTTAAGGCTGGCTTCTTAAGTGTAGATTATATGTAGGGTTAGGTGATTTTGACCATTAAAAGTTCTCAAATTATTCCTTACATCATTGTTTATCACAAATTAGTAAGGCAATTTAATCCTTACCCATCACAAGCTACCAATAGAAATGATTCAATTTGAGTGAAAGTATTTTGTTAGCAATTGCGAAGATTATCATTTCACGAAAGCATAGGTACTTTACTTCTTCTTAAGAGGGACAGAGCCCGAGTATAAAACTCATATAATATAAATGCATGTGATAGTGTGTGTGAAGGAATATAAAATTGTCAACAACCCCATAAATCAAATGAAAGACAAAAAAGGAAAAACTTTAGTAGACAAATAATTACAATTCAAAACCATTATATCAAATGATAGGATAAAATTAAAATTATTATGACCTGACTCTCTATGGCATCTCTAGTGGAGTCATCAAACTATTACAACATATAAATCCATAAATCTATACTAGACTTAACAAATAGAGTCGTCAATAATTTTTTTTAATTAGGTGTGATTGATCATCTAATGAATATATCCTTTTAAGAAGATCTTAAGCTTAACTAAAGGTCCCTAAAAAAATAGGTTTGGATCTACTAACTATAATAAAGTTCGGGAGTTCAGTTACATATGAAGAAAGTTATAGCACCCTTACATACCCATTCAAAGGATTGTACCATTTTATTTTAAATTTATCCTAAGGTCTTGATTCTAATGGTTTTAAATTTTAAATATTTGAAATAACTCTTAAGATTTTTTCATCAATTTAGCAGAATTCTTAAAAAGATTTTCTTACCTCAAAAGGATTTAAGAATTTCATTTGTTTTCTTGAAGAGGCTCTGTCATCGAAAAAATGTTTAATCATTTTTTTATTTTGGTTTTTTATTAAAAATATATCTAATTATTCCACCATTTGGGCTAAATTAAAAATATCTTCTCACTTAAAATTTTTTTAAATAATCAACAATTTGTGATTACTAAGAATTTCATCATTGAAATTTTTTTTTTCATTTTCTAAATTTTCACAATTTGGATCAATTTAGAATTTTTTTTCTTTTTTTGAATTCTTAAATTTTTTACTATTTGGGCTAATTTAGAAAATTTTCTTTTTTTTTGTTTTTTATTTTTTATCTTCGAAAAAGAATACAATTATTTTTATTAAAATTTTATCTAAATTATTCCACCAATTGAAACAAATTTAGATAATTTATCACATTGAGATTTCTTAAAAAATTTATCATTTGAAATTTTTAATAATCTCATCATTGGGTAATTAATATTTAATTTCAAGATTTTTATTAAAATTTTTATTTTTGTATTTTGTATTTTTTATTTGAATTGAAAATAAATATTAACTATTATTATTGAAACTTTCTCCAAATTATTCTACCTTTTAAGACAAATTTAAAAAAAATTTCTCACCTTTAAATTTTATAGAAATTTACTTTTTGAAATTTTTAAAAATTTCATAATTGGATAATCATTATTTATTCTTAGAAAAAAATTACTCTATTTTGTTTTTGTTTTTTTTTTTTCATAAAATTTATCCATGCAAAAAAAAAAAAACACTTATAAAATAAATATAATAACTAAATAAATAAAATAAGGTAAAATAAAATAAAATACCAAAAAAGCGGCTTGACTTCAAGCATAAATGATGGCTTAGAAATGCAGCTTAACAGCTCGATACGGCTCGGCTTGGCTGAAGGAGTCAATTGGAATGCAAGTAGACAGAAACGGGTTGGCACTCAGGTTAGGTCACCCATTGACAAAATGCGCGGATCTTAGAGATTTATTAAGGTGAAAACAGTGTTATTTTGGAATTGATATAAAATGCAAAAAACTTTTTTTTCCTCAGATCTCTCTTTCTGCCTCTCTCTCATCTTCTTTTTTTCTCTCTTTCTCTCTCTAAACCTTGATGAACTCTAGTTAAATATTCATAGGATTCTAAAAAATCTTGTTGAAATATGGGTTTGTTTGTTGGAAGTTTGCTGGAAGTTCACCAGTTTCTAGAAAGATGTCATTAGAAACTGAAAAACTTGCCAGAATCTGAGAATTTCCTCAAAAAGCTACTGAAAAATTCAAATGTTATCAGAGAATTTAACTGAAAATTGAAAAGTTTTTAAAAAAATTTGAAAAAAATCTTCTTTTTAACTCAAAATATTTTCAAAATCTTTTGACTATTTTCGTGTATTTTTACTGACTTTCTCTTTGTTTCTATGGGTGATCTGTATTTTTCTCCTTTTTTGTAACTTCTATTCAGTATGTATTTATATGGATAATTAGAAAATTTTTGATTAACCGTGCCTTTACCTTTGATAAAGTTTATGTATTATCAAAGCATCAAATTTATCTTATACAGATTTATCTTATAAAAATTAAAACCCACTACAATTCTATCAATTCTATTCTTGGCAGAATTATTTTTTTATTTTCTAACCTTTTTTTTAAATTATTATATTTGATAATACAAAAAAAAATGAATGATAAATCAAATTAAAAATAAAAAATAAATCAGATGAAAAACCAAAGATAAATAGATAATTAACAAAAAAATTCAAAAAATAATAAATAATAAATAAATACATAAAAAATAATTGAATTTAAACATTTGAACTCTATCGAACCAAATTTAATTGATTCAAGTCTTGAATCAAATAAAGTGTCTATATTATATGTTACATTACGGCAATGGGTTTAGCCTTGGGAAAAGAAAGACGAGTCATTAAATCACGCCGGCGGCCCCTCTGGGTTGCAAAACCCAAAACACGGCATCTGCTGCTTTTAGCCACCTCTTTTCCCACGTAATTATATATATGAATGCGTACGTCTCGTTCGTCTGGGTGATCATGGAAAGACTAAATGTTTTTACGGTCCAAACAGTGTAATTAATATTTCTCATTAATAATTAGGGTTCTGCTTCGGCAGGTACCGTTCTTTCAAAGTCTTTTGCTGCAGCCAGCATCCATTAACTTTAATGAAATTGTTTCATGCGATCGATGCAAGCATTGGCTTCATAACTGCATTTATTCTTATTATTATGGAGTATATTTTTATAAGTATTTTATTTTTCCTTAGAGACTAAAATAGCATATATTTATATGCATATAGAGAAAAAAAAAGTGAACTAATGGTGACATGCTAGTTGCTACATTAATACGAGTCCTTTTAATTAAGTGCATATGCATGCATTTTCCGGCTTACTGAATGTTTGCAGTTACTTCTTCAACTGCACAAATTTAATCCTCAATAGGTGTGGTGGTTAGTTCTTCCACCGATTAATCATTTGATTCATCTACCCTAAATTAAGGGTTATTAAAGGACGTCAACGCTAAACTAAAGGCAGCTAATTTCTTTCTTTCCTGCTGATCTTGTTTGTTAGATATTGTTTGACTATATACTTACGTACAATAAATAAATAATATTAAAGTGGTTCTGGTTAGCTTTTAGTGTTAGAGTCAAAGGAGCACGACCACATTTTGATTTTCTCCAAAGTCATCGAAAGGAACACCACCGCAGATAGCATATACATACATAATACTATCTTCAATTCATTATAATATACATAAATAAAAGTTCCCACACGTGCTAGCTAGCTAGCAACCTGCGAAAGGGAGGGCGACTGTGAACTCCCTGTGCCCACTGGTGTTATAAATAATTGCATGTGAAGCTCCCTCAGCTCCGCGTCTCATCTCCTCTTCCATACCATTCGATTTGCTCTGCTGCACTTTCTGTCCCCAGACTACAATATCACTACTCATATATAGTCACCAGTCATAAGCCTCGTTTCATTTTCCATCTCTCACGTTCGACCTTGTTTATCTACGACTACTATATATTTTCTTAATTTCTACAAGTTTGTGCAGATCGATCTATCGAAAACTACTACTATATATAGTACTCCTATATGGTTGAAGAATGAACCATCGATCCTTCAGTTCAGTTCCATTCTTTTAGCTAGCTAGCTAGCCAGTTCGATCAAACGCATATAAGTGTATTGCTTGACAAATTTCTCGGCTTCGGTAGCAAACTAGGAGCTAGCTAGGTAGGGTAGGATAGGGTGATGATGACTTGTGCAGTGGGATTCTTTGATGACAAAAGACTTGGCATAAACTTTGTGGCTATGCTTTCGGCTCTTATGTTACTACTCTTCTTTGGTAACGTGCATGTCACTCTCTCTTTTCTTGTTTTCATCCCCAGCCCCTCCCCTCTATTGATTTGTTCCAAGCATAAAATTTAAGTGAAGAAATTCTATTGTCTTCGTACCTGAAATATACATGGATGTGGATATGAGTAGCATTCTATAGCTTTTTTTTCCTTTTTGATCCATCCCAAGAGATGGTAAAAACACCTGAAATTGATATGTAAATATATAAATCGTATTTGAACTGATAAACTACTCCTCGAATTGTAAATGAATCAATAAATAACATAACAAAAGTGTTTTTAGTTAGTAGTCTCCAAGATAACCACGGATGCGCATGCGTGCATATACAATACCTGTACTTTCCTTTCATGTTCCTTTTCTGGTCCTATGAAAGAACAAACGTTTTTCATTCACAGATAAAAATTTCACTTTCGGCTTTTCTTTTTGGTTTCGAATTTGACTAGTGAAATTGGAAATTGGCGCTTAATAACTATTTTCTTAATTGAACTTCATAAGTACTCTATTATTATAAACAGTGTTTCGATGAACTTTGAATGCATCTTATATTAACATGCGTCAATTAATGCAGTGGTGGAGTCCATTCAAGACGAAGCAGTGAGTCAAGGAAACATTAAAAAGATAGTCTTTCCCAAGAGAAACAGCTCTGCTTTTGCACGGAAGCTGCTGCAGTCCTCTGGTATGGGATCTATCTTTATATCTTTTCCGTTGTCACCTCATTCACTTTATCATGTTCTAACATTAAGTACGGTTGTGGTTCCAAAAAGCTTCATTAACGCAATTTATTTCTTGTCGAAGTTCCGTTACTATTGGAAGATGTGTTTTGCTAATCAAAATTTTAAGTTCAATGATAAATTGCCATGAATAAATTTTACGTGAGAACTAGTTTATTAACATTATTATAATTAATTATATTGAAAATTAATAATCTAATTGCAAATATATTTGATAAAAAAGAAAAACCGGTAATCATAACAAGTTAATGCCTTAAAATCCTTTATAAAACATTAGTTAATAAAATCCTTTATAAAATAGTACCATCATATACCACATACCTGTTGGCTAACTTGTGCATATCGTTATAAGACACCACTCATCATTCATTGAAATTGTTGTGTAGTACCTTTGTTTTTTAAGTGAGATTTAGATGACTGATTAATTTAAACTTGATTAAACACAGTAAAATGATTTTATCGCCTAATTACCTAGGAATTATAAAAAAAATTATGTTTAATCAATTAGGTAAGTCCGGCCCTGATTAGCACATGTGAATTCAAGCCATTTAGTAATAAATTATTTATGATTATAGATAAGTAATGCAATTTGTAAGCTAAAAGCTTGTTCAATAAAAAGCAATTTGAAGATGCTTTCCAACTTCCATTCCATGTTGGTTTTAGCCTTTAATTTATCTTCTTAGTTTTTTTAGTATTTCTTGAAAGCTGGAAGCTGATTCTTTGTTTTTGGAAACTTGATGCACGTAGAGGACGGTGATGCTAATCGAATTGGCACGGCATGCTCAAAGGATGACATTATGATATTCCAGGGCTCAACGGCACCGCTTCCCAATGGAATTCCGTCATACACTGTTCAAATTATGAACGTATGCGCATCGGGGTGTAGTATCTCCAACATTCACGTCAGTTGTGGATGGTTTAGTTCTGTCAGGTTGATCAATCCCACAGTATTCAGGCGACTCTACTATGACGATTGCCTTGTAAATGATGGGCAGCCTCTAGGCCCTGGAGAATGCCTCTCCTTCCAATATTCCAACACCTTTAGCTACCCTCTCTCTGTCTTATCTGTTGGCTGTTGCTGACTCACCCACAATACAGCCGCCAAATGACTACTTAGAGAGGTTCGCATGTAATATATATATATATATATATATATATATATATACACGTATTTTTAACTAGTAAAATATTTAATATTACTTGAATTTAAATAATTTTTAAATTATAAATTTATTAATTAATATAATAATTAAAAAATTATTTATTTTTATGTGTTATCATTTAAAATTAATCATATATCATTAATCACGTTAAAAATAAATATTATACTAATTAATAAATTTATTATTCATATATTATATTAAAAAAATTTAAAATTTAAAAATTATATTAAATATTTTACTATAATTTAAAAATTATTCATAACATTAACTTAGGTGTATAATGTTAAGATTGTAGAATGTTATCCTTTTGTATCATAAATATGTATATGGTAAGTGAGAGAGCAAGGCAAGACTGGCAGCAGGACTTGGGAGGTGTAGCCACATCATTTTGTAAACCCTCAAGGGCTTTTAATTAAGGAACAAAACTTACATTAAGTTTTATAAGTAAAATTTATGAATTTTTTATTAAAAATGAATAAATAAAAATTTTAAAAATTAATAATATGAAAAAATAACTAAAAATATTATTTATAATTTAAATTTAATCAATATTTATTTAACGATAAAATTTTGTTAATATTATTATTAAAAATATTTATTTCACAAATATATTAAAATTTTATTAAAATTTTCATGCTTAATTTATATGATGAAAAATTTTAATTTATCAATTTTGATTTTCAATTTTAATTTTAATTTACTCATTTTTAATAAAAAAATTTCATAAACTTCATTTATAAAATTTCATATAAAATTTTTCCTTTAATTAAGACCGCCCGTTATCTCGCTTGCTTACTTTTTGAGTTTTGATTGACCTGGTTTTTGCTTATTGCTTATGATCCAGGGATGCTTCTTAATTATAGTTTAACATTATGCCACTTTATTCTAATATGTGTATATAGTAGTAATAAAAAATAACTTAGCTTATAATTTTTTAACTTAGTTATTGGATGAAAAAAGGAATAATCTAATGCTGGATTTCTCTTCCCCTGCACTGCTAACCGCTAAACATTCTCCAAAAGAAGATATTGAAAAAAAAAAAACAATTGCAACATCAACTGGACAGAGTTGATGCAGAGGTCTCCAACTCTCTGGGTCTTCTTTTCATGCACAATGAACCGTTTAAAGCCTGAAGAGTAAAAAAGATTGGGCATAAAGGTACATTTTAAGTTCTAAACTATACAGGCCGGCGCCTATCATTACTTGGACCAGGCATACTCACCCCAGATGTCGGCAAGCATGGATAGTCGCCACTTGCAAATACTCCGGTGAGGATTAAGGCACATCTAGAATTCGTCCTGATAAAAGAAAGTTTGCAATCGTACGATGGGGTTAATTCAACCTACAATGATTCCTTCTTCAAAAAAAAAAAAAAAAAAGAACCAGCCTAGAAAGAAAGAGACAAGACGATCTTGAAAGGATAAAATAAGGTTCTGCTAATGGAACAAAAACAAAAGTAAAACTTTGCAATGTCAAGAAAATCAAACCTCTTAAGCTGAAAACCGTCAAATTAATATCCATAACTGTAAGTAAAATCTGTTACTCCAATAATGCCTGGAAGTATTTGGGAAACGATGTAGATACAGCTCCCATAATCACCAAGATAAGAATTGCAGAGATGGGGTTCTTCAACAACTCCAGTGTAGGCTGGAAGATGATGTATATCTCACGATCCGTGCACTAAGTCCAAACAGGGACGGATCTACAATGGGGGCAGCTGCCCCCACTGAGATCTTAGTATCTTTAAAAATTATTACAAAATTTTTTAAAAAATTTAATTTTTTTTATGATTTACACCCACTAAAAATAAAATATATATGACACTTTTTTAAATATTTAAAAGAACAAAACTATATTTGCAATATAAATAATTTATTTTACAAAAATAATAGGATTATATGTATAAATATAAATAAAATAAACATTTATAAATAATTTTTATTCAAAGACAATCATTTCATTTAAAAAACAATAAAAATAAAATAAAAAATGAGCTTCTTTTTATTTCACCTAATATTTATTTACTGTCTAAATTTTTTTAAGTTAGTAAAATAATTTGATTAGGGCTTAATTTATTATTTATTTATGTTTATATTTATATTATAAGTGGATTAAGATTGAAGAATGTTATACTCTCTAAGTTGATCAATGAAATACTTTAATTTTTACAAAATTATTTTTTATATTTAAAATTATATTATTTAATTACAATTTAAAATCCATAATAAAAAATGCGTGTTGATTTTGTTTGCATAATTATATTTCAATATCTAATATAAATTATAACATTATCCTTTTATTTTTTAGAAATTATATAAGTTAAATTATCTTATTAAAAAAATCCATTTTAAAAGAATCATTCAAAATCAATAATAATGACACATAATATTTTACAAAATAAGTTCACGTTTAATTAGATTTAGATAATTTTAATCAAATTCAAAATTATAAAAAATATTTTAACCTATCGTCCCAAAGAAAAATATAATATTTGAAAAGTTTATTTTTGTCTTAAAAAACTTATAAAAAATAATTATAATATGATATTTTTGTGTATAAATAAAATAATTTATTATACATTTACATTAATTTATATTTATATATTTTTATATTTAATATTATCTATATTAATTGTAATGAACATAAATCCTGAATCGGTCTCTCTATCCAAACCCAAGTAGGCTGTGTGAAGGGAGTTGGTGCAAGTAAAGGATGAGGAAGGATGGAGATCGAAGTTCTAAAAGCATATATGAAACCCAAATGTACGAATTAAGGGTGCGAAAATATGCCTCAAGATGAGCAATCTAGTGTCGAGTATAAAGATCGCTCGATGGAGGGTTCTAAAACACCCTAAAAAGATTGTGAGGGTAATCAGATACAAAAGACTCTAGAACAGTTTAAAAACAAACCAGGCGTCCGAGCATAAAAAGATTTAGAAGGAACCAGGCGCGGGCGCTGTGCAGACATTTTAGCACCAAGCCAGGAAGATTCTGGATGGCCCTAACAGCATGCAATGTAGCGACCAGGTGAAGAAGCTTCTGGAAGCCTGGGCGTGGGCACTCAGCGGGAGTACTTGAATCCTTCTAGACCTTGTGCTTATCAAAAAGCCTAGAAGCAGCAAAATTCTATAAAGAGCTTAACGGACCTAATTTGAATCTAAGAGTTCTTGAAACTATCTAAAAGGCCTGTAATAACCACCCACTTGGATTTTTAATAGTTGTTGAGTTCTTGAATCCTTTCAGACCTGGTGCTTATCAAGGAGCTTACAAGTAGCAAAATTCTGGAGAGACCTTAATGAGTCTAAAAGTCTTGGAACTGTATAAAGGTCTATAATAGTCATCCACTTGGATTCTTAATAGCCACAAATCAAGAGGGCTCAAATATAAATAAGACAACCTTCCCCACATTTGTACATAGATAGAACATGCTTAGGAGACATAGACTTGGGATAAAAGTAGACATTGAGTGTTATTATAGTGAATACATAGGTACTTTATACATTTATCAAATAAACAAAATACTTTTCCTTTAATCTCTCTTCTTCTCTATATTAATCTTAATCCTAAAACCCCTTCACTTTTTTTTCTCTCATCTCACTATTACTCTTTTATCTTTTGATATCCACATTTATTCATTTTAATTTAAGAAAAATTCTTATACCACAGCACGTGTGGTTGTAGTATTTTTATTATATATACAAAAAATAAAAGATAAGCAAGGGAATAATTAATAAAATACATACTTAGTAAATACCACTACCTTTACTTCTATTTATTATCGTTTTTATTTATTTTAAGTTCAATTTTAAATTAATTTTGTAAAAAAAAAGTTTAATTTCAATTAACTTCTTACTTAAATCTTAATACATTAAAAAATTTTCACATCATTTTGTAAAACATATTATGATGTAAAAATGTAATAATTTGAATTTAAGTATTAAAATAATTTGGTAAATAAACAAATAAGAAAAAAAATATAAGAATAGAGAAAATTAGATAGAAAGTGTCGAAGTTGAAAAATAAAATACTTGTGGTCATTAAGCATTAATGTGAGAGAAACACTATTATTGTTAGAATTTTCTCTTTATGTATAATTTATGTCAAATATGTATAAACTATAAAAATTATTATATTATAATTTGTATCGATATATTATATATAAAATTTTTTTATTTTATAAAATTCATATATAATTTTTATTAAAATTTTAAATTGTATTAACTTTTATATTTTTTATCTTTTGAATCTTATTTTGTTATATCTTGATTAAAATTATTGGTACAATTTTATTGCTAAGTTATTGATAGACTTTTCCTTTCACTTACATTTGACTTTTTATCTTACAAGTGAAATATTGAAATCATTTCATGTTATGTTAAGATTTAATTATTAACTTTAAAAAATAGATTAATATGGTCATTTTATTATAGAGTACAACTATTAATATCTAATGTTTTTGGGATACTATTAATCTATAATTTATAAATATCCATATTTATTCATTATAATTTAATTTTAATTTAATAAAAATTCGTATACCACACATGTGACACATGGCTGTAATATCTCTTATTCAATTTCAAATTAATTTAGTAAAAAAAATGTTTAATTTCAATTAACTTTCTTATGTACATCTTAGTATATTATAAAAATTTCAAATAATTCAAATTATTAATCTTAGTAAAACATATTATGCATTAAAACGTAATAATTGGAATTTAAGTATTAAAATTTTGTAGTAAATGATAAAACGAATTTTAAAAAAAAAAGGTTGAATCAATTGAAAATATTAATAAAAAATTATGAAATCAAAATTAATTAATTATTATTGACATAAAGAGACAAATACAATTTTGAATTCAGACAGTGACACATTGCTGACCTCAAAACGTGACTCAAGTCAAAATTAAAAAATTCTCTAACAAAAATCCTCTTCAATTTAGTGCACAACTTTCATCTTACCTTTTAAAACAAAACAACCTTTAAAAAAAAAAAAAAAGTGTTTCACTTTAGCAACCTCAACGCCAACGGAGCACTTATAAAACCTTTAGAAGGACATAATTTTGAAATTCTGTTTGTTCGTGTAAATGGCAACGCCCCTCTACCTTCTCTCTTCTTCCTCGTCTCGAGCCCATCAAATCAAACCCGTTGGAGGTAGGTCAAAGCAGCAGCAGGAAGGCTAGGGCCGCTGACCCCAACACAACTTCATCTGCAAGGTGAAGAGATTTATGTATGGTCAAGAAATCCACAAACATGACAATGGGATTCCATCCGATGTCCTATCTGAGGATCACAACAACGATAAATCGCCATGAATAAATTTTACATGACAACTAATTTATTAACATTATTATTATAATTAATTATATTGAAAATTAGTAATCTAATTACAAATATATTTGATAAAAAAAAAAAGGAAATACTGGTAGTCTTAACAAATTAATACCTTAAAACATTAGTTAATAAAATCCTTTATAAAACAGTACCATCATATACTTGTTGGCAAACTTGTGCATATTGTTATCAGAACAGCACTTATCATTCATTGAAATTGTTGTGTCAAACCTTTGTTTTTTGAGCGAAATTTAGATGACTGATTAATTCAGACTTATTAAACACAATAAAGTGATTCTATCCCCTAATTAGCTAGGAATTATAAAATAAAAAAAAATGGTTAATCAATCAGGTAGGTCCGGCCATTGATTAGCACATGGGAATTCGAGTCAATTAGTAATAAATTACTTATGATTATAGATCAGTAATGTAACTTGTAAGCTAAAAACTTATTCAACAAAGGGACATTCGTTACAAGAGTTTAAGATTTTAGTCATGTTTTTTTTAATATTTAGTAATTTTTATAAACGTCATTAAAAGATTTACGACATTTATAAAAAATATCATTCAAAATATCAGTTATATATGCATAGTAAAAAATAACGATATTTTAAAAAAAATGTTGTCATCTTAATGACATTTTTATCTTTAAAATGTCTCTAAATTAATTACGTTTTTATGAAAAAAAACGCCGTTGCTTTGATAGGATTTGTAACTGAAAATGTCGTTATTTTAGAGGTATTTGTATATGAAAACACTTTTATATTAGTGACATTTGTATCTTTAAGACGTCGCAAATTTAGTAGTGTTAGGCGTTTGTATTTGAAAATGCCTCTATATTAGCGGCGTTTATATATTTGAGACGCCGTTAATTTAGTGATATTTTATGAGGAAAACGTCGTTATTTTGGTGACGTTTGTAAATGAAAATACCGCTACTTTAGAAGCGTTTATATCTGAAAAATATCTCAATATTAACAGCATTTGTATCTTTGAAACGTCGCTAATTTATTGAAGTTTTTATGAGAAAAATATAGTTGCTTTGGTGGTGTTTGTATAAAAAATACCACTTACTGGTGGCGTTTGTCGGTAAGAGCGTTGCTGCTTTTAGTGACATTTTACGATACAAACGCCACTATATTATTTATTTAGCGATATTGTTGAATGCAAACGCCGTCATTATGTAAAAATGTATTTTTTTTAAATTTTTGCACGTTAACAAATTTTAATTTCATTAAAAACTTAAATTTAGAAACTGAAATTAATATAAACTTTTAAGTATGCATCTAATTAATGCAAAGTTTAAATTTTAGTATAATAATATTCAAATATTTTTAATACATTAAGAAAATAAAAATTAAAATGTATAAAATGGATGACTGCATACATTTTGTTGGTTGTCAATTGATGAAGAAAAATTTTCACCTTGGTCACTGTGTGCTCAAGAACCTACTAAATAATATCATATAATTTTTAACATTTCATTGTAAGCTTTTTTTATATTTAAAAATTTAAATATTTACTAAATATAATATCTGAGTTGGTGGAGCACCAAGATCATTTTCTGAAAATTGTTGTTACACAAAATTCATAAGATGATTGAATCAATCATGCAACTGCTAAAATCTTACACGTTTATGCTCCATTCTAGCATGTTCTTTTTGAAAATTGGCACGCTCATGGTCTCTTTTTGCTTTCATTTGCTGAAAACATTATTGTATAGTTTGCAACACCCCTCTTAATATTGAAATGTGTCGCGAAGACTAACTTACTGATGATGTAAATTGTTGAAAGCTATGTCCATAGTAGGCAGATAGTGTTGGACCCAATCAGAGGCCTCGGACCAGTCAATGCTTTTCTTTTTCAGCAACTTCTATGAATATCTAATTTTTCATTTTTTGCATGTTGAGAGAATTATCATATACTATTTCAATCTCAACAGTTATTTTCTCTTCGCTTTCTTCTGTGAATTTGTCATATACAACTATTAAGTTTAATGATTAATTGATAATATGTTAAAAAGAGTAAATATTTACTTTTTGTTAATATTAATTAAACAAATTATCATAATTTCTTGTGTTTCGACATTTATGTAAGACCTATCTTTTTTTTTGTGTTATGCAAAAAAGTTTCACACGTCTAATTGTACTGTCCATCTCATTATTCTATACAAAAGCATATATTATTTGATAGGATACATATCAACTATAACTTATTCATGTATATCAAGCCTGTCAATCAAGTATTAATATTTCGAATACTTTTAATCAATATCTTTATATTTTGGTCTCGTGACAACACAATAGTCTTAAACATAATCACACTTAAAAGCATTTTGAGCTTTCACATATATAAATCATGGAAACCAAATTCAATTGTTTTCTCCTAGTTTAATATCATTGATTAAAGTCATTCAATATATTGAAAGCCATCTAAAAGTTTAATTTGTATATTTACCTTTTATATGAAAAAATAATCCTAAATAGTTATAAATGACAACTTTTTCTCTCATATCAACTGTAGAAACTAAGTTCAATCAATCGGACAAGTTTAATATCAAGTATTGAAGCTATTCAAACTGTTAAAATACAACAATAACAATAAATTTGTATTTTTACCTAAATATACGTAAACAATAACTTTTTCATACATATCATTTGTGTCAACTAAGTTCAAAACTTTCGATAAGTTTAATATCATGTATTAAAACTATCAAAACTATTCAAACAAAACAATAATTGTTAATTTGCATATTTACCTTTTAACGACAGAACAAGTTTATTCATTGGAATAAGTTTATTATCATAAACTTACTTTTTCTTTTTGCTTTCTTGCAAAACCTTTCGATCCACTTGTGTGAGAATATTTCTATTGCTTTCTACTATCAATCCCAATCTGTTCTTTTTCTTGATTGGATTATTGAAGATGTTTTTAGTAAGAAAAAGCCTTAAATCATCCATAACAAAAAATTTTGAAGGTGTTCTTAACCAAAACCGCCTTTGATAATCACACCAAAAATTAATTATATAAAATATTAAAGGCGTTTTGGAAAAAAAATGTCTTCAAGAATTCATCGCGCCTTTTTTGTATGGATTATTGAAGGTGTTTTAAAAAAACGTCTTCAATAAAATCATCTAAAAATTAATCGAATGGATTATGAATAGCGTTTTCATATGGGTAACACCTTTAATAATCCCTAATAAAATGTTATTGAAGGTGTTTTTAGATATAACCACATTTAATAATCCAACTATCAAAATTTATTGTCTAGAATAGTAATTGCATTTTTTACCAAAATTACCTTCAATAATCCCATCAAAAATTTATTATGTGAAATATTAAAGGCGTTTTGGATAAAAAACGCCTTTAAGAATCCGTCTTGTCTTTTTTGTATAAATTATTAAAGGCGTTTTAAAAAAACACCTTCAATAATACCAACTAAAAATTAATCAAATGGATTATGAATGGCGTTTTTCTATGGGTAATGCCTTGAATAATCCTTAACAAATTTTTATTGAGGGCATTTATGAAAATAATCACCTTCAATAATTCGATTATTAAAAGTTTCGTCTAAAATATTAAAGACGTTTTGAGCAAAAAACATCTTCAATCATCCGTTCAAACTTTTGGCTATGGATTATTGATGATGTTTTTGATAAAAATTGTATTTAATAATCACAACAAAAATTTATTGATTGAAGTATAGAAGGCGAGTTCGGTCAAAAATACCTTCAAGAATTAACTCCATATTTTTTTTATGGATTATTAAGGGCATTTCTATGTGAAAAATGCCTTCAATATTCTCTGCAAAATTTTTTAAAGCAATTGGTGAAGGCATTTTTGTTAAGAAAATGCCTACAATAATCAATTATAAATAATCTTTGTAAAAACTCATAAAATGCTAAAGGGAATGATCGAACCTACAACTTTATGATTAACATTCGTACGATCGAAACATTTTGATATGATATTTATTGAAAGCGTTTTTAACAAAAATGACTTCAATAAGCTTGTGAAATTTTTTGATCCAATTATTAAAGGTGTTTATTATAGAAAACGCTTTCAATAATCTCATATAATTTTTTTTAAGATTATTATTGAAGGCATTGTCTACCAAAAATACGTTTTTAGTATTCACTAAATTTTTTAAGGCAAAATTATTTAAGACGTTTTAGTCGAGAAACGTTGCTAATATCAAGTTTTCGATGACGTTTATAAGTAATAACGCCGTTATTTGAAAATTTAACGGTGTTTTGATAATAAATGCCTTAAGTTTTAAAAAAATACGGAAACTAACGACATTTGTAAGTGAATGACTGCTACAAAACTATCACTAATACGTCATTTTCTTATAGTGATTAATTTGAAGATAATTTCCAACGTCCATTCCATGTTGGTTTTAGCCTTTAATTTATTATCCTAGTTTTTTTTTTTTTTTAATTTCTTGAAAACTGGAGGCTGATTCTTAGTTTTTGAAAACTTGATGCACGTAGAGGACAGTGATGCTAATCTAATTGTTACGGCATGCTCAAAAGATGACATTATGATATTCCAAGGCTCAACGGCACCGCTACCCAATGGAATTCCGCCATACACTGTTCAAATTCTGAACGCCTGCGTATCAGGGTGTAGTATCTCCAACATTCACGTCAGTTGTGGATGGTTTAGTTCTGTCAGGTTGATCAATCCCATAGTAATCAGGCGACTCTAATATAACGATTGTCTTGTAAATGATGGGGAGCCTCTAGGCCCTGGAGAATGCCTCTTTCCAATATGCCAATACCTCTAGCTACCCTCTCACAGTGGACCCTTGCATGTAAAAGCGTTCCTTCATCAGACAGCCTACGGATCCAGTCAAGCAAAATGATTTGCTTATCTGGAAATATAAGATCTACAGCTAGCCTTCCAGAAACCGCCTTTAACACAACAATCCCAAAACCGAAGACATCAAATTTAGCAGTTGCCACACTTCTTTTCGGGAAGCTCTCTGGTGGTAGATATCCAATTGTGCCACCAATCCTTGTTGCGTCAGCCAAACGAAACTAGTGCCTTTTTGTTGCTGGTGTCTTGATTTGGCACTTAAGTTCATGTTCAAGCCACCGTGCCAAGCCGAAGTCACCTAGTCGTGCATTATATTGTGAGTCAAGCATCACGTTGCTTGTCTTGACATCCCGGTGTATAATCCGAGTTTCCAATTGTTCATGGAGATAGAACAATGCAGCTTCCAGGCCTCCAACAATTTTCCTCCTGTGCTCCCAATTCAAAAGAGCGGTGCCCATGTTTTCAGGCCTTCTAAAAAAGTACTCTGTTAAGGCTCCGAATGGGCATGTACTCGTAAACCAAGAGCAACTGTTTTCGTTAAAAAGACGTTATCTTATTTTTATAGTCTTATATTTAAGTTGAATTTATTTATTTATTTATTTATTATCAATTAATTTTAAATTTAATATTTAATATAATATTTAAATTAAGATTTTTTTTCATTATTTTTTTTTAAATTTATCATGTGATAAATTTTTTATGTGTTCGTTTATATATGATGAAAATTATTAAAATCAGTTTTTTATTTTTTATAATCTTATATTAAGTTTAAATCTTTAAATTTATTATCAATTAATTTTAAGTTAATTGCTTAAAAGTTTTCATGTACGCACCAACCCCTTGACCGGACAAGATTTCTATGGCGCAAATGAGCCACAGCACCAATTCTGCGACAAAGGTCTTCTCAAACCTCTCCACTTTCTCTGCCAAACATTTCATAGCAACCACTATTCCATCACTGGGTAAAACTGTTTATACACATTCCCAAAACCTCCATTTCCAACAATTTCATCTTGAAACTGTTTTATAGATTTTTTTTAATTTTAAAAATTTTTAAGATTTTTTTTAGAATTTTTGAAAAATTTTAGAATATTTTAAATTTTTTAAGAAAAATTTTAAAATTTTTAGAATATTTTAAAATATTTTAGATTTTTTAATTTTTTTTAGAAATTTTTATAATTTAAAAAAAATTCATTTTTTTTAGAATTTTTTAAAACTTTTTTAGATTTTTTTTAGAATTTTTTAATACTGATGTGATGCTGACTAAATTTTTTGACACGTATTAATATCTTATTAGATATTCATGTCATATTAGCATTTAGGATTAATGGTATAATTATTAATTTCGTTTCGATACCAATCATACCAGTCGTTATATTTCAATTATACCAAAATATGATTCACTTAAAAATGACTTTTCATATCAAATTTGATACTGAGTAATATCGGTTGGTTTCAATAAATTTTAATGAATTAACATGTTTCATTTAGTTTGTGAATGTGAAGTATATTTTGTAATTTTTAATTTATTTTTTGTTATTTAATTATTTTTAATCTAATAAAAATAAAATTAATTGACAAAATAACCTTAAAAGTTGAATTTTTTATTTTTTATTGTAACTTAATTTTTTTATATTTTATTTTTTTCAAACCAAAATTTATAATTTTATACTTTATTTTTTCAAACCAAAATTTATAAGTATTTCAATCCTTTTCAAGAAAACAATTATACTCATAAAACAATTATACTCATTTTATGAAGTTTAACTATCATAAAACTTTGATTAATTTTTTTGATATATTTTTTCTCTTAATATTTACATAAAAAATTACTTATTTAATAGATTTAAGTATTTCAAAATATCATAAAATATTTATGATATTATTTTTTATACTTTTAAAATTATCTATTGAATTTTTTAAAATATTATATATTTATTTTGTAAATTATTAATAATATTATAATATATAAGTTCATACATATTTATAAATATATTTATATTAAACTAAAAAATCTAAAATAATATACTAAAATAACTGATATTGATATATATAATAATTTTATAAAAAAATTAAAATAATATTCGATATGTTATTGACAACTTTAGTTAACGATGTTAAGGATTGATACAATTTAATGCAGGAAAATGTAATTTAAGTAATTAATTAGATTTTTTTTGTTTTTTGTTTAGATACCACATTAAAAAAAATGCGGTAGTCCAAAAACCAAAGAAGACATTATCCCTTTGTTAAACCTACACATATTTGCACTGCACTGATGCCATTGTGCATATCAAAATGACTAGAATTATTATTATTACTTATCAGTAAAATTCACATTAAAAAAAAGGAGAGAAATTTTTGTTTTATGGTAAAAATTTCATTCATCTCAGTAGTCAGTTTTCACCGAGATAAGAAAACCCACTTCACATTTGGAATGACAAAAAAAACAAAAAAAGAAAAAAATTATTTATCTAATAAAGGTTTACCTAAAATTCTAGGATGTACAATTGCGAACATATCTACACAACGACTATCAAACCCAAAAAGTTAATCTGAACTTTAATTACAATAAGACAACAACAAAATATGATAACACGCATCATTTTCCACCCATATTCCTCCACTTGTCCTTCAGATCACCCTGAAAAAATATAATAATATCTAATATAATGTAAAAGGAAAATAAAAAACAATACTGCATATTAAGTTTGTAGTACACTTACAGAAGTTCTGTTTACGAATGCTCCAGGATTGGACGATAAAATAAGTGTCCAGCTCGTTCCATACCTTCATTATCAAACTAACAAATGGTTATAATCCACTAATGTGTTCTGAATATAATAATCCAAAACAATGTATGCAGTACCAACAAATAAGTTGAAAAACCTGAAGGAGAAAAATAACATGCATCTCAGGATAACCACTTACTTGAGCACACCCTCCTGCAAAGCTTTTTCTTCATCTATGCTCCACCTGTTCATTTTTCTTTTTCTTACCCATTTTCGGATTACATGCTCTTTCAATGGAGACACGTGCTTTGTCTTAGGGCTAGGTAAACGACACTTGTTCGAACAACTAGCTGTCTCTTCAGTGGAAACATCAATTGAATCCTCCCACTATAAATAAAATCAACACAGAAGATGAGACAAATAGAAAACATAGTAGGATTGAATGAATGAAAAAATGAAAGAATGGATAGGGTTATTAATTCAGGTACGCAATATAATTACAAGAAAAATGAGCCTGTAAAGTAATGGAAAAAGCTCATTCCAAGATTTCACAAATAATGTCAAGGCTAGAGACATGTACTTATATTGCATTGCAATTACGGATATGGAAAGAGAACATAGCAAGATTTAATGAATGAAAGAAATGGAATTATTAATTAAAGTATGCAATGCAATGTAATGATAAGAAAAATAAAATGAGCCTGTAAAGGTAAAAGCCCATCCCAAGATTTCAAACAAAATGCCAAGGCTTGTACACAAAAATTGATTGTTCAGTAATGACACTGGATGTAAACGTATGCACATTCAACTAGTCACCTCATAAGTGCGAGCAGTGCAATTCCTTTCCATTAAGCTGGGCTTATTCTGATGAAGGGAACCTTGATTTCCTTGACTGCCCTCCTTGTCTTGAGCAGGAACTCTGCTAGGATTGACAGATGGAGGAGGAACACTCCTGTCCATCTTACTGTTGTCTTCTCCAAGGGCCTTAACACACAAATTCTTCCCTGCTATGTCAGCTGCTATCCAGTTAGCTTGAGCAGATTCAATGGTACAATTGACAGATGTCTCAAGAACATCTACAGTAGGATTTCCAGATGTTGCAGGAACACCCTTGTCCTTATGGCCTTCTTCTACAATGGATTTAGCATGCAAATTTTTCCAAGCCATGTAAGATGCAACCCTTTCAGCCACTTCTAAGGCTTCAGGGAGGGGATCAGTTACTGCAGCTCGCAAGTCAGCATTACTGGACTTAAGTGCGTCTTGCAATTGCTTAATTTCAGGAGTTGATAGGGAGACATATTTGTTGCAAGACGGCCTGCCCTCCTCTGAATCAGCAATGATAACAAGTCCTTTATGGTGCCTGTGGGAAGAACGAAGCTTGCATCTTGTTTGAGAATTCACCTTCAGAATCCCTGAAGAACCAACCAAGGTAATTAGAACAAAAAATGGACCGGTATGACCGAGTTACCACAACTAAACTTAACTAAGTATAACAATATGAGGCAAAATGTACAAAGATAAGTGAGTCGATTCATTCATACATACATCTTAGACCAACAAAAATAAAAGCTTTTAAATTGCAAATTAATCATACATAGCATTACATAATCTACAGAAAACACTATTAAGATTTTTACTAGAGAAAAATGAAAAGAGAAGCCTACCTTTCCCATTGTTGATGTAATGATGACGATGAGCAGGGGCTTGGTCAGAGACATTCCTTTCAATTAAGCTAGGCCTATTCACTTTATTCTGTTGGATGAAAGCTTGAGTTCCTTGATTGCCTTCTTCAGCTTGAGCATGTCTCATGGTAGGATTGAAAGATGTAGAAGGAACATCTGTACTAGTTGCAGGAACACCTTTGTCCTTATTGCAGTCTTCCACAATGCCTTTAGTATGCAAATTTTTCCTTGCCAAGTTAGATGCAACCTCGTCAGTTTCAGTCACTTCTAAGGCTTTGGGGAGGGGATCAGTTACTCCAGCTTCTAAAGTACTAGAATTAAGTTCATCTTGCAGTTTATTAACTTCAGGAGTTGATAGGGAGCCATATTTACTGCAAGATGGCTCGTCCTCCTCAGAGGCAGAAATGATAACAGGTCCTTTATAGCGCCTGTGGGATGAACGCAGCTTGAATCTCGTTTGAGAATTCACCCCCATAATCCCTGTAGAACCAACCGAGGTAATTAGAACAAATAATGGACCACTATGACGAAGATTAGAATAACTAAACTTAAATAGGTACGCAAGACAATAAGAGGCAAAATGTACACAGAGAAATGAGTCCATTCATATAAACATTCTTAGACCAACAAAATTCAAAGCATTAATACTGCAAATTAATCATCAATCTGCCGAAAACAAAATTAAGACTTTTACAAAGAGAAAAATGAAAAGAGAAGAGAAGCCTACTTTTCCCTTTGTCAGTGCAACAGGGAGGGGATTGAGCAGGAACAGGATCTATTGTGGGTCCCGCAGGGGAAGCCAATTCCAGCCTAACGAAGGCAGGCTTCATCGACGAGCAAGCCTCCTCCAGATAAACCCTAATAGCACGCAGTGCTTCATCTTGGGTATTGATCCCCAACAACTTATGAGAGATCTCATTATCCCAAAGCGCCGCTTCTATTTCGTCTCTCCATTTACGTAAATCAGGACCAAGAAGCTGGCTGGTCCCGGAATCCTCTATATTTCGAATTCGGAATCGCCAAATCCGCTGGACGGCATCGAAGAAGCAGGGCCACGAATGGGGCAAAGAAGTAAGGGTGTAATGGACAGCGAGGGCGCAAAAGGCCGCACGCATGGAGTCGGAGATGGGGAGGCCTTGTTGGCGATCGAGCTGTTCGATAATCTGAAGAGAATCAAGAATCCCCTCGGGGAGGGAGCAGTTGGCCGTTCGTTGACGAATGGAGTGGATGATGGAGGCTTTGTTGAGGAGACAGAAGGTGGAGTCGTCAGCATTGTTTATGTTGGAGTTTGAGAGGTATTCCCTAAGAAAGGAAGAAGCACCACCATGACTTGCAGAGCTGAAAAGGAAAACGGAATTGTCCATCTCTCTTCTTTCTCCCTTCACCCTAATCCTAAAAAACCCCTTTTCCTTTTATTGTTTTCTCACTACGATTCTTTTATCTATCAATATTTGCATTTATTCATTGTAATTTTAAAAAAATTCTTATAACATAGCAGATGTTGTTGTACTATTTTTTATTTTTATTATATATAAGGAAAATAAAAGAAAAGCAGGAAAATAATTAATAACATACATAATAAATATTACTACCTTTACTTCTATTTATTATCATTTTTATTTATTTTAAATTCAATTTCAAGTTAATTTTGTAAAAAAAAAGGTTTAATTTCAACAAACTTCTTACGCACAAAAATTTCACATCATTTAGTAAAACATATTATGCTGTAAAAATATAATAATTTGAATTTAAATATTAAAATATTGTGATAAATAATAAAACAAAAAATGAAGGTTGAATTGAATGCTTAAAAATATTAATAAGAAATGATGGAGCCAAAATTAATTAATTATTTGACAGGCAAATACAATTTTGAATTCAGACAGTAACCCGCAGCCGACCTCAGCACATGACTCAAGTCAAAATTCAAATTTCTCTGACAAGAATCCACTGCAATTCACTTCACTGCCTCTTCCTCACGACACAACTTTCATCTTAACTTTTAACAGAAAACAACCTTAAAAAAAAAATATATATATATATATATATAGAGAGAGAGAGAGAGAGAGAGAGAAACCTGTTTCACTTTAGCAACCTCAACGCCAAGGGGGCAAAGGCACTTATAAAACCTTTGAAAGGACATAATTTCGATATTCTGTTTGTTCGTGTAAATTCTGTCTGTACCGAATTCCTTTCTTTTTTGAGCTTACCACTGATCCCCTCTGTGATTTTCTTCTGAAACGTTGCAACCTTCCTCTTCGCAAGGCGTTTTGAGGTAGTCTTTGTTCAATGCAAATGTCAAATGTCGATAATAACAAGATAAATTTTTTTTAATGTGGAGTTGACAAATTAAGCCTGAATAGAAAATGAAATTAATTGTGGTAAGATTAAAAATAATAATTATTATTATTATAATTGTAATTAAAAAAATTATTATAATTAAGATTAAAAAAATTTTAAAAAAATTTATACTTATTTATTTTTATTAAAACTTATATTTTAATGCAACTAATAACACAATAAATTTATTCGCACCACGTCTTAACGAAATTTTTAAGCAAAGGAGAATGATCAAAACGGAAACCTCAAAAGAGAGAATATATAAAAGCAGCAAAATCAACATGCATGGTGATCAATCATAAACACTGGTCTTATCAATCATAAACAGTAGTTGGAATCTTGGTTTTCTCCCCTAATTATTTGCTTTTCATTTTTGTTCTTGCAAAACATATTTTGGGTTTTTTTTTTTTTTTTTAATTCTAACCTATCCTTCTCTTCACCTTTTTGTGGAAGAAAGCTCTAAAAAAATATATTTTCCATTAATTACAAATAAAATATAATAGTGCTTACTCTTTTCCTTTAATCAATTTTTGAGATTCTATTTAAAAAAAAAACGATTGAGATACACTTGATATTGGACGCTAAGATTTAAGATTTAGATCAAAAGTGAAATGGAAATAGAAAGGATTTACTAGTGCAACCTGTTCGGTAAAAAAAAAAAGAGTTAAGAATACTTAAAAGTTAAACCGCGGAAATCCATCAATGGGTGCGTGTATATATTTATAAACCCCAATTAAACTGAAAACCTTAATTTAAGTAAGCATCCTTATACACACACGTGTATATATATATGACTAATTTTAACAGCAGGGTACCTCCCGGACCTGTTTGATTATACAAAGAATAGGAATAACAACACCAGAGGGTTCCTCATTTGGATCTACGGCTACTATCAAAGGGGAGGGGCGGGGGGGGGAACTGGAATGTAAGAACACAAATCAATTCTTTCCTTTTGTCTAACTAATATCTAATATTGAGCATTTACATAAGAGAACGATGTGATAATAAACAATTTTCTTCTAAAACAAATTCTCTCATTATCAAAATTTGTCTCCTTGCAAACCAGCAGCAATGTGCCGTGCTGCTGAAAGCATGAACTAAAGGAGAGACAACAAAGGGAGCTTCTCATGTTGTACAGGACCAGATGTTAGAAAGTCTTTTACCAATTGTTCTAACTGCACAGTCATACTTTTTACAACACGGTGGTATCCTGGATGCATTTGCCTTTTAGCTTTTTCTGAACCCGGGTGCTCAAGCCACTCATCATACAAGCGTTTCACCAGAGGGTTCTTAAAAGGATCAGCTTCCAATACTTAGAAGGCATAAAGAAGAATCAATTAAAAAAAAAAAGCAATAATACCATAATTTATTCCTCCAGATAACTCTTAAGCAATTCAAATAGATATTTCAAAAGATAGCTTGATTGTATATGCATGTAAACATTAAGCTTCATGTAGCATTTGAAATCAGTTCACTTTTAGCACTAAAGCATTGCAAGCATAGTTAATGATTTATTTGTTGTTGTAACGAAATATTTAGCTTGATGAATTATCTTCAGTTTTCCAAAGACGAGAATAAATTCATAACTGAAGACCAAAACTCACATTTTCCATGTAAATGGCTTCTAATGATTTGATTAACTCCTTCGGTGATTGTCCTGGCTTTGGCTTGATTTGACCTCCACCATTCAAGCAATCTGCATATATTAACAAAACCTAATCTGTTACGCTTAACCTGAATTTCTAGGTTCTTATAATAAGTTACTAGTGAATGTTTCAAACCCAATTCAATATCCAAAAATAAAAGGATAAAAGGAAACAGAAAGCTGAAGGGCATGCCATGACCTCCACATATTGATAATCACATTTCCGTGTTTTAACTTTCCTGACAATGTTTTGCAGGTTCTGGAAGCCATAACATAGGGCAAATTTCAGCACAGTTCTCCCCTCCACCTACATAGAGGACTGTCAGGATATTAAAGAAAAAGAATAACATGTAGTGTTGAAGTTGCTACCATGATTTTTTGAACCCATTTTTGTTAAATAATAAGGCCATGATTTAATACATCTAGAATACAACCCCTATGAACAAGAATACAACCGCTATGAACTGAGATCACAGAAAGGGCATCTCTTCAGGCCGAAGTACATGTTTTATTTATGTTCGGACTTCTTTAACGCTAACAAAATACTATCAATATTAAAAAGCACAACTTACTTCTAGACTCAATTCTTCAAAATCAGAATTTCTTATAATTCTGAAGTCCAGTGAGCCATCAATTTCTCTTCCAAAGAGATCTTTTGCAGCATATCAGAAAACAGTTTCTGCATAACCTCCTGAGCCTCCAGAGACACCAAAAAAATGTCCTTGCTCATCAACATTTGTCAACCTGCAGAATGATAACAATATTTTTCAATTGTAAGTAGCAACAAGGTTGCAATAGGTCACTTTAAGGAGGATAATTGTGATGCTTACATTCTATCTAGAGGTGACTCATCCAAGGCTTTAAAATCAACTTCTTTCAACTGCAAAAAGTAACCAATTAAATTAAATTATAAATAAATAAAGCCATTAAATAAACAATATAAAACTTTTACATTAGAATGTGGAAATTAAGATAAAGTGAAACCTGAATTCACCTGTATCAAATCTAAAACTTCTCCAGAGGTCAAGACTGAGTCAACCTCCGTGATACAAACACCTTCATTTGCATGGCTTCCACCATTAGATTCTGCTTGAAAAACAAAGTCCTTCCTGGCAGCTTCGAGCTTCTTATCATAACATGGCATCACAGTTACATGGTAAATCTCCTCCGGCCTACCAAGTAAAACAAATAATCCGGTCATGCAAGCATTAAGCTAATATAAAGTTTAGGCATGCTCCAATTCCTATAATATTTGGATAGTTTAAAGATACCAACTGAAGATTTGCCCTCCTGATATGTCAGTCCATTGATGAAAAGCTAGCTTTTTATAGCACTTAAATAGTAAATAAAAAAGTGAAAAGGGATTGGAGAGAGGTTCTACGGCCAACATTGGTAAAAAGATAGCATTTCTAACAATCCTTGCTTATACTTGTTATTTTGGAGGTACAATAAGGCTATGAAAATGACTTCTTGATACACATACACACACACACACAGTACATATTATTCCATCTTCCTTCTCCTTTGTTAGTATGTCAAATGAATTTTTTTTCTGTTCCTTTCTAGTTTCCCTTATGGCATTAGAAGGATCGGAGGCTTCATAGTTTTAAACAATATGTTGTAATTCGTTGATAACCACTGAATTTTGCAAGATATCAGTTTTCTATATAAAACTATAAGAGAATTGCTACTCACGCAATTCATCTAAATTTAGAAGCCAGATATCATTACCAGAACACATTAAAAGTGTTAGGTTGCCTCAGCTAACAGAAATGTTGGTCATAGCACAATCAAGATCAAAAGAAAGCTCAAGTAAGAAGTATAAAATCTTGAACAGACAAGACTACCTGACACTCATTGTTTGACATATATGATGCTTAATAGCAGTTCCCATTGATTGCTGAGGACTCTTAACTGAGGATATGTACGGCAAAATATAGGATCCAAGTTGTTTTTCAGCATAGCATATCCAATCTGCAATTAGAAAAAGATGCACAGAAAAAAAACTTTTGGTCACAAGAATTCTATATATTACCATGACATCCCTGCCATAGTCTTGTTCTACACATATAATACAAGTTTAAGTCATCCTGTGCATCGGCATTTTTGGGGTTTAAGGAAGAGATAATTCTATTAAATGATTGGTAAACTTTAATCAGCAAGATGTATACCTGGACACGATGAGGAGAGCATTGGGAGTGACAATTTGCTTTTCTTGTCATCAGTTGCTTGGCTTTGTTTATATCGACCAGTAAACTCATTACAAATTTCAATCAGTGTTAAGTCTCTACTACAACTAGTATCAAAAACAGCCTTTACTCCCAAGGACTTTAAAAAAGTTGCGAGTTTCTTGAAAACCTGAATATGAGAAAAGAACTCCCATAATTAGAAACATGCAACTAAAATAACATTTAGGTAACATTTCTTGTACTTCAATAGAAATGAAAACAAAATTATAAATAAATTTGGATGTTAGGAATCACAGATTTAATCAAAAGGAATTACTGGTTTGGGTGGGTGTGCAATGTGCATACATGCGTGGTATGAGCAAATTGATTGATTTAAGCCTCTTCTTTTTCCTTTTTTGTTTCTTATAGTGGGAATGTAACATAAAAGCATGTCAAGGGGTAGATGCCACTATCAAAGCGTTTTAGGTTTAGGGTTTCTAATGTTTTATCATACCTGTAGTGTAGGGATGCCAAAGTAAGCTGCAAGGGAGACCCTTGACTGTGGAGAGAGGGATACAATTACAGCTTTCCCTTTATTAATATGGGAAAGGAATTCATCTAAACTTTGCTTCTCAAGCATCACGGTCTCCGCTGAGGCTATGCACCCGCTGCAACATTGTAAAGAAATTACAAACTTACCTTTGAAGCAACTAACAACTAAAAAAAAAAGCTTAAAGCACTTATCAAGAAAATAATTGACAGTCATAAATAAGGCACTTAACATTCGATTCCTGTTTTTAAGTCATTTCACTAGCTTCTATTAATCTTTTATTTCTGATTGTAAATGGCACAAATTTTAGAATTACCTTAAAATAAACCCTTAATATACAAAAATGTTCCTTCTAATGCGCAAGATAAGCAATTTTAAAGACAAGAAGGAAGAGTTGAAGATATAAGAAAATATTACCTGCATGCCAAACAGTCCTTGAGTGAAATTTTTACCGGTTCAGTTGCCTGACTCTTAGCAGTTAAAACCTTCACCTTCACCAAAGTATTTCAAATAAGAAAAACTTAACCAAAAGAAACGAACATTCGTTCTCTTCTACTGCTAAATAAATTGATAACTAGTACAAACCAAGCAGGTAAAAGTAAAATAAAAGGACCAAATTACAAACCAAAAACTAACTCTTGCATCTAATTCAGAATCAAATTTAGCAAAAATCACAAAAAAGATTGATAATTGAGGAAAGAAATGAAGTAAAGCTATAAGTACCTGAGGTTCAGGTTTGTTAGCGGTTGCTTTGAATCCTTTAAAAGAAACGACGCAGGCTTGAGATGGTGCTATGAAATCGCTGAGATCTCCGATTCTGAGAGTCGGCGAGAACTTGTCCGACATGGCTTAATTTCTCAGCTCCTATAATAAAAACGCCTAAATTAAATTCCAAAATCGATAATTAAAGCTGTGAGTTGATTCGGAAATCAATTTCTATTTTTCTTTTTCTAAGGTTTAGGTTTTCTTTGGGAGATTGAAGAGTAGAAACAGTGAGGTTTGTAATACGTTAAAGGCGGTGACTTTGGACCATACCACTTACAGTTAATTAATTATTGTTTAAGATTATACGAGAATTATTAAAATTTTATATAAATCTTATATCATATTATTATTATTTTTTTTTTCGGTTGATGGAAAAAACACCTTCATGTTGATATTGATTTGTTTTTGGAGGAGAGGCCGAGAGGGGACGGAAGACACAGTAGACAGACACTGCTGTGCTCACAAATCTATGATTTCAACGATAACATTAATTCTTCTGAGCAACATGGTCATCCCATAATCAAACCTTAACATGTGCAAACAATACATACACAGCAAGAAGCCACAAATTAATTACTCCATTTTTTTCTTATACCTTCTTAAATCTTATTATTATTATTATTATTATTATTATCATGTTTTTCTTAGATTTTGCTTGGTAGCCTTACCAGGCAGTAGATTTTTCTTAGTAACTGTTCCTTCACATGATAGATGAAAGCTAATTAAGCTAACTTCTTTGCTTAATAATAAATCAAAATTAATATTTACTACCATACACATATCTAACAATAATTCATTGATCAAATGTCTCTTGCACTGTGTTTTTTTCAACCCATGAAAAATTAAACGACTCAAAAAAGTATGAATCCAACCTACATTTATTGTCAAATGGGAGTCATAACTGATAACACCCCCACTTTTCTTGTTATCATTATATTTATATATATAACACATTAAATTACACAACCCTTGGGAATGAGCCCGTCAAAGTGAAACAAGGTAGTTTTGGCTAACCCAAATTCTACCACCCGGAGTTGTTCTTGGCTTTGTTGCCACCATATAAGCGGAAGAGACTGAAAGCAGAGACACAAGATAGGACCACCATGCTAACGCTAACTAGTAGTGCCATTGCTATTCCTTCCCCAATTTGATTACAAAACTTTCCGTACATGTTGCATATCTTCATCCACTGAAGCTCTGTTTGCCCCAACTTAGCAAACACTGCTGACTGTGCTGCAGCTCCCACAGCAGCCACATTCAAGTATGCCATGGCCTGCAAAAACATTATATGTTAATCACTACATGCTCTCTTCTGCCCAAAATACATGTCCTCTTTAGCAAGCCAATGTTTGGATGGACTTTATAGACTAGCTTGATTATGAACCGTACCACAGAGAAAATGGTCTCTATGTCAGCTCTCTCCAGGTATGTGACAATGGTTAATCTCAATAGCAGTTAAAATGGCCTGGTTGATGGTTATAACAGGCCCTGATATTGTACCAAATCAGGGCTCCACTATCCCCTCATTCAAGGCCAGAAATACAAGGGGTGGGAGGTTGTTAAGGTATGCATTAGAATCAAATGAACCAAAAATACCAACCTGAGTCCTGCAAGTCTGAGTGTCTGACTACAATAGAATTCTCAAATATTCATGAAACATAATTAACATTATTCTTATATGCATTAATATTAGCTATCATTTCCCCACAGAATTCCCTTCCTCTACGCACCAGAATTAGTTAGATTTTCGAATCCCCATGAAGATCAATTCTGTTTGGTGCATTAAATAGTTGGATAAAAATCATGTTCTTTCTCAAACACAGAACAAAAGTGTTTCTCGAAAGGAAAAACCAGTAGCTCAGTTGTGTTGGTCCAGAGGGGAAGTGTAAACTAATTATAACATACTAGCTTCTGCTTCAAGCTTTCTATTCACTAAGTAGAAGTAGAACAATAGGAGATGCACAAATTACCTACAATAAACGACCATGAATGAGAAATAATTCCATGCAATAACATCAATGACCAATCCTTTTTCGCACATAAAACTTTGACTAGAGGTCCACCGCTGGTGGTGTCGCTCATAAAAAGCACTGGATAAGTTTCCAAAGGACTATTTCATATTTATCAAGGTGTAAATACATACTTCATCAATTAGGTCTACTTGTTTCATTCCATTAATGATCTTCATCTTCCCCTCATTATTATTTGCTGCTTGAATTCTCGTACGATTGTTACCATACTGCAAGGGTTTTCAAAACACTACCGTCGTATAAAGGCTTAACACCAATTACCAACAACATTAAATGCTACTCTAACCAACCTTGGACTTTTTCCTCTTTCTTTTTCCATTTTGGTGGAAGCCTAGCCTTTTAAAAAGAAAATATTCTTCTCTTCCAATTTATTGCAACTAAGTCTAGTTGAAATTTGGTTATTTTTTACAATTTCCTTTCATCTACTAAGCATGCAATTCAAAAAAAATTTTCTTAAGCAAGCATGCAATCAGCCAAAACTATTGCCTAAGTGAAACCTTCAGCAAATTTTGGAAATATGGATAAATTATGAACCTCATATATATTTACCAAACTACTAACGGAACAAGACGAAGGCAATGGCTCTTAGGCTCTTCTATCCCATTTATGCTATGGGGGAAATACATGCAAAGAGAAGACCAAGCCGGAACACAGTACCTGATCTCCAGAGAAAATGGCCCAAGCCAAAGGCTTACTGAATAGCACACTTCCTCGTACCATACCCACAACGCAGCGCACTCCTTGTACCAATGAGTAGGCTGCAGCTACCCCATTGGCTACCACCAAAAACCTGCGTAACGTGTTACATCAAAAGTAGATCAAGAAAAGCATGACTTTTACAGAGAGGTAGAGAGAGGGACAGAGTAGAGGATCTTACACAAGTGCTTTCATGTCCGTAAATCTAGCTTTCTTCCGAATTGAGAAGATTTCTTTGACTTGAGTGTCTGTTCCCACAAGCACAGCTGCAAGAACACTTAAGCCACATATCACACACCTCAAAACCAACTCCGCAACTCTCACTCTTCTATCAATCACCTTCAAATTAGTGCCGTGGTATACAGAGACGTTCCCAGGACTAACACCAACACCCAAATAATTCATCTTTAATTTTTGTCAAAATCCAACACTCTACAGAGAAGAAAGAAACAGACCAGCCCAGACAAAAAACTCTTAAAGCACAACGAACGTACACCTAACCAACAAGGCGGCAACTTCCACTGCTTAAATAGGCGTGTGCCAAGCTAAAATTTCCTCCCTTTTTGAGTGGTATTTTTTCTTTTACAGAAAGAAAGATTTTTGGCATTAAATGGCACTTAAGCTTTGCATTTAAGGCCTTTATGGGAAAAAGTAAAAGATGAAACAATGGCAATGAGAAAGTGAGACAGAAGCAACAGGGTTTCTTTAGAGTTCTTTATCTAGGAAGAGGCAACGGTTTTGTTGTTCCAAGAAGGAGTCAGATAAGGTGAGGGAGTGCCTTAAATCCTCCGAACTGAACAAGAACAAGGTTGATGGTTGAATTTAATGAGAGATCAGTTTCTTTTATGCAAAGACCACCCTAGCCGAGAAACAACGGAACAAACCCTCCTTTGTTTGAAAGCTAGAAGTAGTAAAACAAAGCACACAATCAGTAAAGCTGATCAAAATGATTAAAGTGGTATGCTTGTGGTCTTTCATGGTGGGGTCTGTGGGTGGTTTGGTTACTTTGGTTGTCCACATGTTATAATGGTGTAATGTGAATCCGTGATAGTTAAAATGTAAAGCTCACACACAAGTCACAACAACACGCGCCTTTGAGTTGCTGTGTTTGCCAATGATTGCCTTTGGCTCAAAGGAGGGCCAAGTTTGCAGCAGAGCCACGAAACATCTCCACCCGTAGGAGACTTGGACACTTGCTTATTGCAACAATTCAAGCTACACGCGAAATAGATGCGTGTGGTGGAAAACAAAGGCTATAGAATTAACGTAACTCCAAGAAAATGCTCTTCCAAGTACTTTCCATTATCAAGCAACTTTCTACTTTAATTTTCATTCAAATCTCAATCTTCAACTGGAGATGGAGCCAGAGCCACTACTAACGAGCCTTTTCCATTTCGTTTACATTTTTTGGAAGTGATACATTTCTAATAGTAGTACAATGATTTCCTGTCCGGAAAACCATGTTTTTACACTTCTTTTTCCACTCAATCTCTGATTAAAGTTGACAAAAATTCGAATGCAAACGTAAGTTTCAACTATGAACTCGTGATTAAGAGAAATCATTCTACCCAATCATTAGATTTTTGACGACACATACATAATCCCACTGCAGCTTGTCTTCAATGGTATTTTGGTTATTCTATCTTTCATTATTCTCTTCACTAATATTATTCTTAGATCACTTGTTGCATATACTATTCTTTGTAGCAAACCTATTGTCTTAATCTGCTCCACAAAAATTACTCTAATAGTCTTAAAATATCGAGCGAAATTGAAATTGAAACTACGTGTGTTGGGCTGCAAAGTTTGCTTGAAAACTAAATTGATATTCCGCCTTATTTTGTCCAACCATATTATTAATGAGCAATATAGAAACACTGAATTTATGATTTTTTTTTTTTTTTTACAAATATATCTGGGATCTGGCTATGAAATATGGAAGATGATGAAAGAGATTATGAAAATTTTAAAATTATATATCAACATTCGCTGGTTGGAGATACTAATTTGAGGATATATATTTTGGTTTGTGAGCAACATGATACTAAATTTTATCTTCATTTTCCTAAATATATGTGGATGTGAATGTGAAAGCGATGACACTCTTTCTCTTCTATAAATACATATGATATTGAATTTATTATTTTTTTTGTCTTTTTAGTTGAAAATTATTGAAATGACACTACTCATATATCTCTCCTATCCAAGAATGAAGCATTCATCAAGAGAAGGCCAAAGGCTATCTGTATCCAAAGATTTTGCCCTCGACCTAGCTAGGGAACAGTTTCAAATTTGCATGAATTGTGGCCTGTTAACACAGAAAGAAGATGGAATAGTCAGTATTAAGTAGAAAATTTAGATTCGAATCATAGTTTTTTTCATGTAACAAAATAAAAATTCAACCTAAAAGAAAAAAAGTGATATAGGATTATAATATTACTTGGGTCAAGATCTGTGATGATGGCGGCAGAATTGAAGTAGCAAGTTGCTCCTTTGTTCTTGAACTTCTGATAGTAGTTGTTGAAGGCATAAGAGGCATGGTTCTTTATAGTATTTGGATGATAACAAGGTTGGTTCACTTGTATCTTACTGCAATCTGCACCTCCCTTTCCGCAAGCCCAATCAAGGGCCTTTTTCAACTCTTCATCTGGAGTTTGCTCATCAGCTATGCACCATTCTCTGAACTGAGCATCTAATATGACCAAAAATGTGTAAGGATCAAAAGCCATTGAAAGATCACTAAAATCATTACATATGGGATTACCTGTCTTCTGCAAAACTAAAGAAACTAAACAAAGAGCAAGCAGAGTCCAATGTGACGCAGATGGCATTATGGCTAATTCAGGAGGAGTTTTCAATGTTTGTATCTAATCTATAAGATGGAACGTTGGGTGTTTGCTTTACCACCAATAATATATTGAGCTAATGGCTATGGAGGAAGTAGCATTTGAGAAGGAATTGTTTACTTTTGTCAAAGTAGAGATTCTTCTCTTTCTATGTTCCTTCCATCTTACAATTAAGAAGACAACCTTTGTTTGGGAATGATCAAAATAACTGTATTATTGTTCCCAATGTGGAAACTTCCAGGACAACACAATGTCTAATACCCAAAATCAATCAAGTCAATTCTAAATAGCAATGGTATAATGCTATTGCTCAGGGAAATAGATGAAACAAAAAAAAAAAAAAATGCTATATGTATGTTGAACCACAGGACAAAGCAAGGCTGGTTGGTTAGAATTACCTATTACTTTGGTTTTTAGACGCCCTGTTTCTAAGAGCAGAGCTTATTTGTTACACTTTCGCTTTGAATTGTAAGGGACATTGAAGATACTGTTAGAATCGATACGTCCCCTATCCATGAAGCAAACTCAAACAAAAAGCGTTAAGACTTCCCAACAGTTAGTTTCAATGAAAGCATGAGCAGATCCTGGCATATATGTGTAAATATACCATAGAATATTACATTCGCAACACCTTATCCAGCTGCTAAATGATGCTTCTACTCTGTTGGTTAACTTAAGAGATCGGTACAATTGATGTCATTGGAAATATGGACTTCCGTAGATTTGTAAATCTATTTCTGTACTCTTTCTCTCTCAAAAGTTCAAGAGCTTCAAATGTGGACTTCTCTTTACTGTTTCAATTCAGCTCTGGGCCTGAACAATGCTATCAGCCGTCAGTTGGGCTGTTAAATCCATCAATAAGTCAGGCGGGCCTCTTCTCACATATTGGTTCAACTCTTTTTAAAAGGACTTAACCACCTAGAGCAACTGGCGGAGAGTAATTATAGTACTAACCAACTCTTGCTCTCGTTAGAAATTAAGTTGAAAGGAGTAACCAAGATCAGTAGTATACGAGGCAAAATATCTGGAACATTAGCTTATACTATATATATAGAACAACATGAAGGCAAATTAATTATATCCGATCGATGACCTTTACTACGTACTATAGTACTAACTCTTTCTTCACTATTAAACTGCACCAAACCAAGTATGGGTTAATTTGTTACAGATGAAGAGACGTATCAACACCATCATCAGAATCCGAATCTTTTAATTTGTTCTGAGAGACATGCAAAGATGGAGATGTCTCTGTGACTATGGGCAACAAACTCGCAAAAAATGGGGCCTCCATGCACCGAAAAGTAGTACCAGCATGACACTTGCTCTGCGGGCCAGAGAAGAGGGAGAAGTTAGGCACTTGACGAGGTGGTGACCTTGGTGGCAAGAAGTGAAAGAACAACAACCCTGATGGCTGATCATAAGGCAAGGTGGGACTGCATTGTTTAGGCTCCGCCAGCTTTCTTAGTAGTTCCCTCTCTTCTCTCAACTCCTTCATTCTCTGCAACCGCCTAAATCTCTCTTGCAGTAGAGCAATAGATGATTGGATGACAATAGGATCATTAATGCTTTCCCCACCCATTTGATGAGAAAATCAAATAATATATATATGTTCTTTTGCTCTTAAAATTAGCAAGCTATAGCAAGTTGCAATGCCTATTCATACATTTATGCAAGGAAGGCGGTGGAAGGAGCCTTGAATGGCTTTACGTGTATTTATAGGACGTTGGCATGGTTCACATGGTTTGCTTGAATTAGTTTTAAGGCATTTAGTTGTTCGATAAAATTCTAAATGATTTGAAAAGGGAAGAGAATCGGTTGCTAAGCGGCAAAGTCCAAAAAGAAAAGGTTGTGTGGCCAATCTTAGGGAGTACTTTGGTTAGTGTATGTGGGAGCGAAGTGAGAAGAGGCAAAAGCAATGTTAAAGGTGAAAAAGTTTGGAGAGAAGAGTCCAAAAGAATGTTGAAACTAGCACATGGAAGGGTATATTTGGAGGAATAATTGATTGGGATGCTCTGCCAGCGTACCCCCAATCCAAAGCCTCTTTTTAGCAGAGGTGGGAGCGGTGTGAGGGCTAAAAGACAAAGGTTAGAATAGGGAATAATCTTAGGAGCTCATAATGCTTTGATTGAACAACAATGTACGACAAAGACAGACATACAAACATTCTTTCTCTCTCTCTCTCTCTCTCTCAAGATATGGTTTGTCTTCAAGTTGTTGGAAGGGAATGGCATGCACAGATGAAAGCTGCAGATGCCAACAGTGTTGGGATTGGATGCTTCTTTTGCATATGGAACTTCGAAATTTGGAAAACGAGAGCTGCTGGGTGGATTGACAAGAAATATGGGGTGATAGACAAGGCGTGCATTTGATATTCCTATTGAACTGTATAACCATTTTCCACTAATAATAAGGTCTAAATCATAAAATAAGTTCACCTTCTAAGTGGCTGGCTGGCTGGCTATATGTAGCCTTCCACTAACAATATTATTAAATTATTAACTTCAATGCTGCATCATCTCATTATAAACATAGAAATATAGAAGCAACAGCAATCAGTCTTGTGATAACTATATGTTGTCAAGATCAAGCATTCAATTAAACAACTTCATTAAGAATCAATTCCTTAGATAACATGTATATATATCTATATATATATAGTGAGGCAATGCAGTTTCAAATTAATTAGCTACTTACAATTGTTTTCTTTGAAATTAAGAAATTGGACTGGGAAAAGTGCTTACCCGTTACCTGCCCTTCGCCAGCTGATATTTCAATAAATTCTATAGCATATCCATGGGCTCAATACCACATGTACTAACTCATTCTTTCACCATTGGATGAATTTGCGTGGAATGTTGCTAGAAACTTTCCGTTTGGAGCACCCATATTATGAATGATTACATTCACCAGAAATACTCCATGGCCCAACTAATTACAAGTGTCCATACTACGCCTGATTAGTTTCTTTTGAGAAAAAGGAAACCCGTGCTTCTCTTCATTTCTCCCCTCTTTTTGATAATGGTGAATTAGAGGAAACCTACTGTTTCCTTCCGAAAATAACTTGATGAAATTAAGTGAATGTTTAGTTATTTGTACTTTGTATAAACCAAAGAATCAATGAATTCTATATGTCTTAATTTTTAGATCGGTTTGATTAATAGCACCTTAATTATATATCGATAGTTTGAGCCCCTTGTTTCAGAATTCCAAACATCTGGGTGTTTAATGGATTTTGAAATCGGACCATCCGTACGGTGAAACTTGTGTTCCTTCAAACTTTGCTTGGAATTATGGAGAGTGCCAGATAATAAGATTCTGTGTAGAATTAAAGAAGATACAAAGCTTGGAAGTTGGAACCTCTCTTGTTTGCATGCCAATTCACAGGTGGCTGCTGCAAAGACTTGATTAAACGGAGAATGAAGAAGATGCCTTTTTTTTTTGGACTGCTGTGATTACAAGACTTTGAAACCATGTATCAGCTGCACTGGTCATGCTTGGTTATCTCTTCGAAACCTAATCTAACTTTAAATTGAAATCAAACCTATCGGCATTATTAGTTTCCTCCTCATGGTCATGGACAGGACACTGCCTATGGTGCGTTGATTCTGAAACTTGTAAGGTTGCTGCAATATTATTGGGCCCTCAAGGTAGACAAAGAACCATGCCAACTTATCCAAAAACAAGTAAAGTAAGGCTTTTGCTGCAACACTTGGGGACAAGAATTGTAATTGAGTAGAATCTTAGGAAGATGAAAGGAAGGAGAAGAAGATTAAAGCGGAAGAAGGAAGGCCAGTATCAGAAACTGATATATCATAATATATATATATATATACACACACAACACCACCACCACAACAACAACAACAACAACAACAATCTAAGGTGAGCATTTTTCATTCTTCAACAGCATAACTGGATAGGAATCTGTGTTTTGTTACTTGGAAACAAGTATATCTACTCAATTCCTTCAAAAGACAATATCACCCTGTTTTTATTTATCTTAAGGGGATAGAGATCACAGGATTGTGGTATTTATATCCATTATTCAAAATTGTTTTAGTCATGTCTAAAAAAAAGAAGGAATTTAGGCAAATAATAACATAATAAATATTAAAGACATATAATAGCATAACACCTTGAGTTATTAAGTTGTACGCTTTCCAAGTGTGTAATCGTAAATAGTAATTCAAAATTTGAGCCCAGAACGAGTAGCCCAAATCAATTACAACAAACAGAAACAGATCAATTCAAAACATGGTTTTCAAGAGGCCCATAAACGACAGAAACAGATCAATTCGGACTGGAGGGTGTTCAGTTCTGTATTCACTTTTCCCATCTATAACTCCTAAGTGGGTAATCGAACTTGAGCAACAACAAGAGCGGCAGCGCCTAATATAGGGAAAGAAACAAAGATGAACACAGACATAACAGCTTTGGCGAAACCAGAGTACCCCGTTGTAGATCGAAACCCTCCTTTCACCAAAGTCGTTGGCAATTTCAACACCCTCGATTACCTCCGTTTCATGACTATCACTGGCGTTTCTGTCACCGTCGGCTACCTCTCTGGTAACCCTACTTTTATCCACATAACAATAATATGTGATTTCTAACATTGAAATGCAATTGGTTCTTTTGTTTTTTTCTCTGCATCTATTAGCAGAATACATTTATATAAATCTGAAGTTGATTATAATGGGAATAGGTTTTTGGTTTAAAGTTTAAACCTTTTCTGGTCTTTTTGGTATTTGGTTGGTTCAGGAATAAAACCGGGAATAAAGGGGCCGTCAATGGTGACAGGAGGGCTGATAGGGCTAATGGGAGGGTTTATGTACGCCTACCAGAACTCAGCGGGTCGACTAATGGGATTTTTCCCTAATGAGGGTGAGGTCGCCCATTACCAGAAACGTGGATTCAACAGCTAGCCTTCTTTCTTTCACCTCTATTCCCTTTTTTGTTATAAATCTTTATTTCAACGGCATATTGGATGATAATGATTGTCAATAATCAGATTGCTTTCGCTGATTTCTTGTTGCTCATTTCAAGGCTTTTGTCTTGCTACTGTATTCTTAGAGGCTTTAAAAAAGTCACTTATGGGTCTAAGATCCCAATGAAATGGAGTGTTATCCCTTTTCCTTGTCAATTGTCATTGGATGATTTTATAAGGCACCAACCTTTTTTTATTCCTTTTGTGTTGTTTTTCTGAATTGAACTAGTTGGAGTGAACTTCTGCTTATTATGACTGCATTCGCCTTTGGGATGCAATTGATCAGTGCAAAACTGATATTTTGTCTGCAGCATAAATAAAACCTGGATTTGAGTTTTCATTGCTGCGCCCTAGCAAGTTAGATTGAATTGAAAATACTTTGGTCGAATTTTTAGTGGCTTTCTTCTTCCAACTTCCTCCTCATCTCTGTAATAATTGTTGTCTTTCTGTACTGCAATTCTCAAAGTTGAAAACCAGGTTCTGTAGAGTGCCTTATGAGTGACAGTACCTTAGGTTGTAAGCTTTAACTTGTTGTTCTGTTAATAGTAGTTTCTTTTTTGACGGCTTGAAAAAGGAAATTTTTACTTTATAGGCCAAAAGATTCAGGCTTTTCAGCTTGTATCTCTTTGCTATATTACAATCTAAAGGATGTTCATCATCCCAATTTCTGGAATATCAGGAACCTATCTTCTTGCTTTGTTTGATCTATCTTAATTTTTCGGCCAGCTTACAGGATACAATTAATAACATTTCAAAGTGGTAAATATTCATTAGTCATCATGGAAATGTTTAAAATAGGTTCCTGTGACCTAGACAGATCCAGATATAGCTTGATTTTGGTGGAATAGAAAGTCCAGTTCTGTTATGGATAACGGCACATTGGAAATATTCTGGTCATCTCTTTGGGCCATGCCAATTGCCACATCAGTAGATGAGTCTCTTTTTCTTGGTTTAAAATTTTGCAAAAGTTAGGTCTTGAGGGTTTTTCCATGCTTGGAAAAGCACTTAGTTTTCAACTTATTGTGGTAGTTCTATTTTGCCTATTCGTTGCATTTTGTTTGAAAACACAAGTAAAACCACATTTGACAAAAATAAATGGTCATTGATACTGAGAAACATTTCTATCCTCTAACTTATTTGCTATAATGGTCACTTCGCGAGAAAGGACTGAAGGAAGAAACAAGAAGGGAAATACATGCCAAGATCGATGATCACAGTCAGACCATGGCTAAACTTGCTATTATAGCAGCTTGTCTAATAGCCAGTGCTTCGCCTGAGAGGCATAACGAAGAAATAAGAAGGGAAAAGAAAGAGGGAGAAGAAACAGAAATTTGCGAAACAAGATTGAACTTTCAATGAGCCTTCCTCTTGTAACCAAGGTTGAACGAAAATTGTTTTGTGTTGTCTTTGTGAAGCTTCCTTTTCTACTTCTAGATAGGGCAATGCTTAGGGAAGGTGGTTACCTGGTAGTTGAGCCATTGACATTGAGCCACACGTAATTTTCAACCCTCGACAATTGTAATTATGTTGGATTCAATTTTTCAACCCCTTCACTTTTCATATTTGGTAAAAGAAGTATAGTGACCTCATCCCACTAGCTTGTGTTTCTGAAGCTCCTTTTTAAGTTATGCTTCTTTATTCTTTGGCAGAAAGGAAAGACACGTCCCAGAGTGTTAAAAAAAAAAAAAAAAGACCAAAAGTGATGCAATGCTTGCTTGATTGAATAATGAAAATTTTCACATGGGTCCCAATCCCATCCCATTTTACAGAGAAAAATCTTATTGATGGGTTGGGAAGATGGAGATAAAACTTGAAAAAATTTAGAGATAATCTCCTTTTGTTTTCTTATGGTCTTTATAGTTTCATCCTCATTCAGTCTCCCTCCTGCATTGGGCTTATTCATATAGTATATGTTCAAGTCCCCTATTGCTCATGCCATTTGTTGGTTCCTATTTGACCAAAAAAATCAAATGATAAATATATATATATATATATATATGGTACTGCGGTGTGTGAAACAGTACCCCTTGATTATTGGCAAAAAAAACAAGCACTTTTGATTAGAATTAAATACTCCTACCATGTAACTTTGGAATAATTCTCATCTTATGACTTAATAATTTTTGCATTTTTATAGTATAAAATATTAAAATTTATATATTTATATTGTATTTTACATTATAATTGTGATTATAATTTATATCGATATGAAAATATAAATATAATTTTTTATTTTATTAAATTTATATATAATTATTATTATAATTTTAAATCATATTATTATTTTATTTTATTTTTATATCATATTCGTATCGTGTTACTATATCATATTTTAAATTATCAATTTTTATTTCCCAAAACATCCGTTATCATTTGATTTTAACAATGAACTAACGCATCTATAGGTGACATCAGAAATATTTAGGTCCCCCATCTGCTCTGCTCTGCACCCATGTTTGATTTTTGCCATATAATAATTTTGTTATCGACACCTTTATAATCGCAGGGACGGCGATGCACCCAAGGTTGGCTAAGAGATTAGAGAAGAACAAATAAAAGCATGGAATTGATGCTCTGATATTGAGTTTCAATAACATTCTTTCAAATGGACATGAAATGTACTTTTGCATATTCCTTCTTATGTTTTAAGTAGTATTTGTTTGTTCAAGTACTGCTACATGTTAAAGAGGGGCTGTCCAAACCACAGCTAGCTTAAATTAGCACCATGATTCTCGTTAATTTTCTTACTTGTTGTTTATCACTATCGATATCAAATCTTCCTTGGACAAAAATATGTAACCAAAGTAAACGCTGGGAAATCTTCTGTTCATTAATCAAAATACAACTGTCGTGGCTCGATCACATGCATATTTTTCTTCATCTTTTTCTTGGCAGACCACGCATTACATGTTTTGGACATTCACTTGATAAGATTGTAATAGCACTGTTGTATAATAAACAGGTCATGCTTGTCTCTTAATAAGATTGTAATTATATCACTGTTGCTCATGCTTTTCTTCATTTGTCTTGCTTGGCGTCGATAACGAAGCCAATGCAGGAAAATCCAACCAAAGGGAATTAAAACAATCTTCTTAATTTAAACGTGTTACACTCCCCGACACACCGACATCGCTGTTGGAACTGATATATAGCAGTGAGATAACTGATATATAGCATCAGACCAATCGGACCAGACTATCCACAAAAGCAATTGACGTGACAGCATCTCATTGGCTGCTTGATCCAACACCATTACAGTCAGCAAAAATAGAAGAGCCTTGGACTTTTCATTCATTAAGTCATCATTGTTGCGCGTGCTTAATACCCCGGCCAGATACACAGCAAATAAAATGAAGAGAAAATTTAATTAAAGGATTACCTATTAAACCTTCTTTGATTAGATGATGAAATATAATCCCATCATGTAATTACTTTGGTTTTCATTAATCTAGAATTTGATTTCAAAACCTTTTATGTCATCACTCATTTTCTTTCAAAATTCTAGTATTTCAAAAAAAAAAAATTAATACAAACGCCGCTTCAACCGTTATCGCATCGCATCTCAATTCGTATGCAGCTCATCTTAGGCCGCAATGATCAAGAAGCAGAATTAGATTTACGCTGCCACGTCATCTATTACAATAAAATATTTGCAATTTGTAATTTTTGTGGTTTATAAAAAGAACACACGCGCTTTTGAAAGGTTGGGTTGCTTCGGGGATCGAGACACCTGCCAACTGCCAAACTTCCAAGCAGATGCGGTCTCTTCGGAAAGGCCTTTATAGTTGTCATAATTTACACAAGTGCCATTTGACCCCCCGTTTTATAAAATGAAACCCGGTTATATTATAGTTAACGCCCTTTTGTTTACAATAATCAAATCACGTTTATTTGCAAATAAGTATTCTTTCTATTATTAATTTATTTTGAATTATCATTTTGAAACTTTTACTTTAGAATATGAAAGGTACGTAATTGAAGTTTTAAGAAGCTTAAAAAGCTTTTGTATTTTTAAAAAATTTTTAGATAAATTTTTATTTTTATTATAAAAATATAAAATTATTCGCCACAAAAAAAAAAGTGATTTTGAGAAGAATAAGGAAATTGCAAAATAATGTAATTTTGGAATCTCTAATCAATATCCAATAAAGCTTTAAGTTATTATTTTAATAAACTAAACCGGCCTTAAGCATTATTTTATTTAATTAAACTCTTAAAATGTTATTTTAATTTGAATAAACCTTATTTTTAAGAAATTAGATATTAATTAAAATTATAAAATTTATTTTGTGGAGGAATAATTTAAAGATATGATAAAATTGAAGATCTTTCTCCATTCAAAGATTATTAAGATAAAACAATAAAAATCAAATGTAAAAGTGAAATTGTGTGGATGGATCACAAATTTGTCGTTTAGAAATAAGTAATTAGTAATTTTATTAGTTTATTGAAGGAGGTGTTGTTATTTGACCAAATGCTTCTTTCTTTTCCTCCTGGAGGAGCTTTTACTAAATTTATTTGACCAACATTTTCCATGCTTTATCGATTTTGACTATTATCCTTCTAAGTTATAGCCAATCATTATGGAGTATTTTTTTTTTCTTCTTCTTCTTTTTCTTATTATTATTATTATTATTAAAAAATATTTTGTTAACCTTGAATTGATCCTTATTTTCAAATGATAAAATATTAAAGTTAAATAAATTTGATCAAAATTTTAAAAAAAATTTATTTAGTACATATTCTTAAGTTTTATATTTTGATTCTAAATAAATAATATGATTTTCAAAGTTTAAACAAACATTTTTTGGTGTCATATTTCTCAAACCAAATCTTCTTTTAAAGATTATTTATTTGAGCTTAAATAAAAGTCCAATTGTTATTTTTAAAGTAAACTTATTCATTTTGGACTTAATACAATTTTAATAATATTGGTTTTGAGAATAGATTAACTTAAGAAAGTTGTTTTACAATAACAAAGTTTTTCAACATTGAATTTGTTTATTTTTTTGTATAAATTCACAAGGTTTTAATATTTGAATTTTATATGGTTGGAAAGTTCTTTGAGTCTACTTTCTAATGGATGAAACAAAATGAAAATCCAAATTTTCTAAGAAAAGATTTTGAATTTTTACTAGACACACTGCAGTTGTCTAAAAAACTGCATAAAGGGTAGATTTGAAAAATTACTATA